AGCAAATTAAAATAAATTAAATAAACCTACTCTAATTGACCTGTATTATTCATTAATCTTTCCTCACCTCATCTACTGCAACGTAATTTGGGGAAACAGTCCTGACATTCATCTAAAACAGTTAACAAAATGCCAAAACCGATTCATCAGAATATTTAAAAATCTTCATCCTCATTGTCACACAAGTGAATATTATCTCGAGATGAAAATACTCAACATCAAAAACTTGTTCATCTACCACGTTGCAACATTCATTTTTAGATTTCTACGTCAGCAATTGCCGGCATTTTTTAGAAACTTTTTCACTTTTGGAACTTCCATTCAAGCAAGAACAACACGCCACACGCCACTTTTCTATGCTCCACCAGCCAGAATTAAAGTACTCTGCATGAGTTTGAAACATACCGGCCCAGGAATATGGGAGACGATTCCACAAGAAATTAAAGATTGTAACACTTTGCATCTTTTTAAAAATAAACTGAAAAATTTTTTAATTACGAAAAGTTCTGTTTTTCAAGGATAATAATGTATATGTATATATATGTATATAAGTGTGTACATATTTCATTAACATTGATACATTTTCTCCTATTGACAATTTTATTTTATCATTGAGAAGCAATTTTGAGCTGCACGGTGGCCGAGCCCACAAGAATTAATTTTCTTTTTTTGGTCTCCGAATCATTCATGCTTTTGTTTTGTTTGATTGAATAAAAGTGATTTGATTTGATTTGATTTTTAGTACAGACCATTTTTTAACATCATCTTTCTCAATTTTCCCTGCTTGAAGATGACGTCTTAATCGTTTAATTTCGGGTATCATTTCATTTTTTTCTAGTTCATCAAATGTTTCTGTCAGATTTGGTATCAGCTTTGAAAGTTCTTCTATCTCCATTCCAATAAGATGTGATGATTGAATGGCTGCAAATTTTACACATACATTTTGCATTGATTCTATCCTTTTTCTAAGATCTTGATAAAAATTGATCGTTGATCGTCTCAATTCCTGTTTCAACGTTAAAGCTTCATCTTTACTTTCTTCTTCAGGCATAAGCTTTCTTTGACTTTTTCGACCCAATTTTTCTGTAGCTATTCCCATTTTTTCACAAATTTTTGTAGAAAATATCAATGCATTTTCAACCAATTCATCGCGACTCTCATGCAGAAAAAGTTTTAAGGTATCTAATTTTTCAATGGTTTTATCTAAACCAATTTCTTCTGTTTGCAAGTATTTTTGAGAATGATTGACTTCCTCAAGAGTACTGCTCCAGAAATGAAGATAAGCAAGAAATTTGAAATCTTGAATATTTTTCATTAAATTTGAGCTGAACCTCTCGTATCTACATTTTCTGATGGATCACATAATTTTTCTAAAGCCTGTACCAACTTGCTGAAATGATTCATTACAGGTTTCACCGCATGATATTGCTCACTCCACCTGGTTCCTGCTAGCCTTTTTGCAGTGATCCCGACTATTTCTGACAATATATTCCATCTATGAGTTGATGAAGAAAAGAAGTTGTAAATGCTTTCAATTGTTCCAAAAAACGTTACACAAGTTGGATTGCTTCCAAATGCGTGAACCACGCTCAAGTTAAGTGAATGATTAGAACAAGGTACAAATAAAATTTTCTGATTTATTTGATGGATCCTGGCTTGTACCCCAGAATGAACACCTGACATTACCAAAGCATTGTCATAACCTTGGCTTCGACATAGGTTTATGTCCAAACCCTCTTCATCAATAATATTTACAATTCTTTGTGTGATATCAATAGCCTTCTATCTGGCAAGAGGAAAAAATCCTAAAAATGATTCTCTTACCTCTACATTTTTGTTTTTTATATGAACATATCTAATAATCTCACTTAATTGGTCTTGGTGAGATATATCAGGTGTTGAATCAAACATTATCCCGTAATACTTTGCTTGCTTTACATCATCAATAATTTTCTGTTTCACAGTATCTCCCAACATAGAAATAAATTCATTCTGAATTTTAGGGGAAAGATATGAAATCGTGTTTCCTGCCTTGCTATGTTGGACCCTCACTAAATGTTCTTTTAAGACAGGGTCGTAGTGTGAAATTAATTCAACTAACTCTAAGATATTGCCTTTGTTGTTAGAAAAGTCATCTTCTCTGTGGCCTCGAAAAGGTAAATTTTGTTTTGCTAGAAACGTGGTGACATCCAATAAGCGGTGTAAAATGTCATTCAATTTTTTAGTTTCCAGTTCTCGATTTTCTTGATGAACGGCATCAATGGTTTTATTAAGATTCAAACTTAGTTCTAATGTTTTCCATTTTTCATGATTGTTAAAGTGAATTTCAGAATTTTCGTGATGTGAAATCTTAGGGTTTAGTTTCCAATTATTAAACCCTGTAACAAATTTTGAAAAATTATTACTTTCTTTATCACAAGCAGCAAAAAGTCGACAACAAAAGCAAAATAAACATTTTTTGTAAGGAGAATAAACCATCCACTTTCTGAGAACTTTTTCACCATTTGGAAGATGCTTGTAGAACCAATGCTTTGTCAACTGTCGAGTTTGACCCTTTGTTTGCTAACCTACTCTTTGAACCCCTCTAAATGGACCATTTTTGTTCTGGAAATATTCACTCTTTAGTTTTACTATACTGATTCTGATGTTATCTGATAAAGGAATTGTCCAATTTCCCACATCACAATTTAAAAAAATATCATTTTCACTAGAAAAATTGATTTCATCCTCGCATTGTTGGTTTGACGTTTGAGTTTCGGTGGTTGTTTTTCCTTGGTCAGATTCTACGGTTGTATCTAAATCAGTCTGCTGTCTTGATGAACTAGCAATAATGGATTCTGGTTTGGCAACTTGGTTAACAAATTTAAGCATTGATCCAGGCAGAGCTTCGGTTTCTTCCCTTCTACTTTTCGAAATTTTTCGTTTTTGTGCTCCACTTGGATGATGTCTCTTCATGATCACGTATCTATCTAAAAGTTGATAGTGTTTTAATTCTAATAATTTATTTTAACTTCAGGACTTAAAATATAATTTTAAAAATTAAGTGAAAAAAATGGTGTAACATCAGTCACATAAACCAAGGAGAACAGATATCCGTCTTTATACCTATCAACACTTTTTGTACCTTAGATTTAAACTAGTGAGTCAGTACCGGTGGGTGAAAGTATATTTTCTGTTTTTCTTACCTGAAAGATAGTAGTTATATTTAAACTTATTAAAGAAGAGATTGATTGATATATAAATAAAATTTAAAACTCACTCTAATAAACCAAACGGAACAGACAACAAAAAAAGTTTGAAAAAGCCGACTCGTCCAAAAACTATATCAACTAATCACATTCAAGCATAATGATGTCAATGTCCGACTAAAAATAGACGTAGATTACCAATTCGGTCAGGATTTAAAAAAAGCGTTTATTCTAACTAAGTATATGCATTACTACAGATTATTTATAAATAAATATATTAAAAAATCAAAACACAAAATCACGTCTATACACTTACTAAATAAATAAATTATTTAAAAATTTTCGTAATTGGCTTTTTGGAGGCCCTCTCCAAATCGGAGGCCCGGGGCGATCCGCCCCCCTCGCCCCCCCTCGGTACGCCAGTGATTCTAGGTTAATACTAAATGCATTTTTCTCAGTAAATTATATACGTTTCACTTGAGGTAACGAAAGAATGTAAGATTCTGTAAAACCAAAAACAAAAAATCATTCTTTCCTATTCGAGCAATTATTACTCGCAGTCATGGATATATATATCCATGCTCGCAGTTCAACTTCAACGTTATGAAAAAAGTTGTATATATATAAATATATATATATATAGTTCGAACTACAAACATATTAACGCCAAACATTCGGTAGAATTTATAGAATATTGTAAATATTAACGCCAAACATTCGGTAGAATTTATAGAATATTGTATATATATATATATATATATATATTATGGGTACTAAGGTTGATAAATATATATATATATATATATATATTATTCTACAATTATTTTATATAAATATATCTATAAATGCTTTTGGTTAAAAGCATAGATAAAAAAATTACTAGTTTCTACATCTACGGTTAAAAGTGCATTCCTATTATTACGCTGTCCATTTTGTTTTGTTTATTTGGCAAAAGCTGAAGTGAAGATCATAAATTTCTTGCTTGTTGTAATATGCCTATTGATTTTAACAAAGATGGCAAAAGTCTAGAGCAGCAGGTTTACTAATTTTGATTTCAATTTTTTGATTGCATTGACTTAGTAAAAAGCCACACCTGACTGTTGTGTGCCACATTTTTTATTTTCCTCCATGACCCAGGTCTACAATTCATATTCGCCAACCTTTTAATTTTAACGGCCCCAATAATCATTGCAGGTCGCTGGTTTGGACTTGAAGTCTTCTGAAAATAGGGGAAGACAAGAGCCAGGTAAATGTCTGTTTTAATAATTAATTTTAATATCATTTTAATTTAATATTTAATTTCATTTTCTTTTCAAATTCATTTTCTTTTTTTTTATTCATTGGTTTCTTTGATCAGTCTTAATGATTTCAAAAATATTAAATTTTTATTATTTTAAATTATTATGTTATATATATTTTTCTTTTTGACACAATACTATAGTATTCTGTGTTCACATTTGGTTATTAAAATAAATCAGTGTGTTAAGCACAAGAAAATAAAGTTAACCTATATTTTTATTGTATTTATTTATTTATATTATAATTTTATATCAATTTAAAACAGTTTTTATTAAAACTTAATAATTTTATATAATATTATTTATAATAAATATAATTAGTTGTTGTATAATATAATATAATGATATTGTTTTAAATTAACCCTTGGAGGGCTATGCGGGGTGCTGGTGCACTCCACATATAAAAAAATCGATGGGGAAATGAAACTAGTAGCCGCAAAAGCCTTTAATTTCCTGTAATTTATCACAAGGAAAATTCAGACGCCGACATGTAATAGTAAAGATAAATTGACTGATTAGTGATAAAATGGAAGCAAAAAATTTTAATGGGGTGTACTTGCACCCCTCTTGGCCAAATATGTTCCAAAAACCAAAATTTTTACCAACTGCTATAACACTGCTTTAACATCTACAGCATAACTCCATTTTGCAGTATAGATTTACCAATCATTTTTGTGAAGTAAACAAAATACACCGGCAATTGAGCCAAATTTTAACAACACATTATTGTTTTATTATTTGGTGTGAAGATGGCTAAGCGATTATACAGTACCAGCGAAGCGTTGGATAAAAACCTAAATGAGGATGACAATATTATTGAATCGGCCAGCAGTGATTCCTTTACGATTTCTATGTAGTTTCTTGACATTTTGTAGTATGATATGTTTTTAAGTGTAACAAGTTTTAGTGAATAAAAATAAGCAATAAATGTTTCTGAAATCAATCTTTGTTTATGTTTTAAATCTGGGGCCAACGAAGTTTTTTTTATCCATTGCCCTCCAAGGGTTAAAATTAAAATTTTATCAATTATTGTAAAAGTTTTGAGTGTTTGTACAAAAAATTATAAAAATTTTGAAGTAACTAAAATTAAAATTTTTTTTTACAACTTTTTTGTTTAAATTATACTTCAAGTTCACTCTTAGGCCTGTGCTTTATTTTCTCTTCCTGCTTTGTTTTATGTTATCTTGATAATATTAAGTTTTGTTGTATAGTACTGTACTGTTAATAACCTCAAGATGACTGTCAATTTGAATGCAAATAGTTGAATAGCAAATAATTACTTATAGGACTTACTTGGAGTTTTGAAAATTGGTTTTTGTTCTTTTCAACAATATAAGCTTTGTTAAAAGTATATTACATGCTGTGTATCAGGTGAGAATGAGACTATCCTGGTCATGTTGTATTGGTGAATGCTTAACAATTTTAATCTTCTTGGGTGCAAACTATGAGTCCCAAAATGCACTATTTACACAGTCATAAGACTAATTGAATAGCAAGGCGTAAGTTTTTTCCAGAATAATAAAACTAGAACAAGTTTCTATGCAATCAGTAATTAACTGGAATCATCAATAAACATTTTTTTATATTTGCATATTAAATTTTTTTATATTGAAATAATTCAGAATCTTTACTCTTATTTATTTAGTTCATAAGTTTGATTTGAAATTTTGAAACATATATGATGGATTTATTGATAAGTTTATAGAGATATTTTTATAAAATCAGAATATATTTATGAATAAATTAAGACCAAATTAGAAATCATGGTATAAACACAAAGTCAATACACCAAAATGGCTTGCGGGAAATTGAAATTAAATTTTGGAAATTTAGAAACATTAAACATATTGCAAAATTAATTAAAAAGTAACTCCAGATCAGATTACTTTGAAAATGTTATAAGATATGAAAATTTTGAAAAAAAATGGTTTTCTTTCTGTTCTTACATAAATGAACAGAGATAATTTCAAACTGATGCATTCATCAGCAAGTTATTTATAATTTGAAGGATGTAGAAAATTCATTTTGTTAGTGCCATATCTTAGGTACTTGACATATGTATAAACTTCGTTAAATTTGACAGATACATTAATTTGAAACAAGAAAATTTTTTGAGCTTGTGCTACTTGAATTAAAAGGAATTGAAATTTTAAAAAATTTCTAGCAAAAAGAATACCGTTTTTTAAGTAATACTTGTTAGGCGAAAGTTTTCAAATGGAAAATTTTTTGAGCAAATCTTCTCTGTAGCTAAATCATCAAAATAGTGTTTTTGTGGACTATATAATTATTAAATAAATACTAAATGTCACTGTATTTTATAAATGATGTCATAAGGGACCATGGTAAAATTTTTATCAGAATATCCTCCCGGTTGTATTGTGTATTTTTGATTGACTGATTTTGTAATGACGCAGGTGTAAAGTACGTTCCACCACACTTGAGAAATCAAACAAGCAGCAAACAACCGCTTGCAGAATCAAAACCTGATTCCAATTCTTCTGATGCAAGTAATGGCCCAAAAGGCAAAGGTTGTATTAGCATTGTTGTTTTTAGTTACATTTTTTTTACACTTTTGCAAAACTATTGAGTGATAAAATATATGATGCATCCTTTCATCATGAATATTGTGTGATCTTAAAAGTAGGCTATCTCAGTTCTGCCTTGTTTGACAGAATATTTTAATACAGTTATTCAAGTGGTGTTTATGCATAAAATCATGTTTAGTGTTTGTATCGTGTTGTATGATATCTTGACTAAATTTCCAAAAAGCAGATTATAGTGGCGATTTAAATTTCAAAAGAAGCAACTCTCACATTGAGGAATCAGATTGCAACAGACGACCAGGAGGATATTCTAGTCAAAATTTGAACAGGTCTTCAAACAAACTCTGGATATTATGTAGATTGTTTATTTGTAGAGTTTATTTCGTTTGCAAAAAATTGTTCTGACTTCAAATTTTGCAAATATCCTGAAAATATCTTTGCAGAGGTTATAGAGGAGGTTCATACGATGGTGACGGAGCGAACAATGGCAACAATTACATTTCCAGATCAACAAACAACAGAGATCAGGGTGGTGGTCCTAACAGGAGATGGAATGATAGAAATGATTCCAGGTTCTTCAGGTTTTAATTTCGTTAACCTTTTATTGTTATAATATTTACAACCTTTTTTTATTGACAATAACAAATAAATAAACGTTCGACTTTTTTTAAGTTATGAGGAGAACCGAGGTTCTCGTGGGAATTACAACTCAAACAGAGATGATACGAGCAAAAGTAGATGGGACACTTTGACGTCTGAAAGTGCAAATGATGGAGGAAATCGTCGGTGGGGTGGAGGTGGCGGTGCAGGTGGAAACAGACATGGAGGAGGTAAATGGAACAGGTATGACGAGGATTCCAACGCTGATTGGTCCAAGCCGCTCAAGAGAAATGAAAAAATTGAGAAGTATGTTGGCATTATTTAGACGTGACAACATTTTTGGACTTCAATTTATTTTCACCTTATTTACTGGATTCAGTGAGTTGTTTGGCAGCTGCAACACGGGCATCAACTTTGACAAGTATGAGGACATCCCTGTTGAAGCCACAGGTCGTGACTGCCCCAATCCCATCAACTCTGTTAGTTAACTATTTAATGATAATCTTCAAGCACTTATGTTTATGAACAAATTTTTCAATACTTATTTCAATGATGTTTTATCAGCTGCTTTTATTTGCATATCTTAAGTTGGTTTTCAAATTTTTCTCAAAAGGACTCAACAGTTTTTTTCAATTACCACACTTTTTATGTTTTAGGGTGGTGAAATCTAATAAAGCTTACTATTAAAATAATTGAAATTATCAGTTCTCAGAGATCGAAATGGGTGAGATAATAGAGTACAACATTTCACTGTGCAAGTACGATAGGCCTACTCCTGTTCAGAAATATTCTATTCCAGTTGTTTTGAATAAAAGGGATCTAATGGCCTGTGCTCAAACAGGTTTTGTACATCTTTTATAATATTCATCCACACTCTACAGATCTACTGGTTACAAAATTTAGTGTTTGTCTTTGAAAGAATTAATAAAAGATTTCCTTGGAAAATAATTATTAAAATTTATTGTATATCAATCACATGTTTACATATTCAGTCAGTTCGTTTACAACATTTCATGCTTAATTATTTTTGTAAAAACAAATCACTGAAATTTAATATTCACAATGGTTGTTATTAAATGGTAAGAAGTTTAGTGCTATAACACTCATTGACTTTTCCAAGCAGCAATCTTGAAGTCAAATTATTCCTAAACGTTATTTTAATGATTCTGAGTAGCCAGTTATAAATGTTGTTAAATAGTTGAAACTTTATTATTTTATATCACATATGTAGGATCAATTTCAGTTTATAAAAATATTTTTTAACGCGAGCAGGATCTGGCAAGACAGCAGCTTTCTTGGTGCCCATATTGAGTCAGATATACAGTGGAGGACCTCCCCCTCCAAGGCAACAGCCGCAGGTCGCTTACCCATCAAACTATCCCTCTTAGAATTCATTAGATTATTCTCTAAAATAATAATTTTATATTAATTTATAACATTGTAAATGCATGCTGTTATTTATCGTAATTTTCTAACTTTTTGCTTTTGATCTTTTTTCCTTCACACTTCTGTAAACTCTCTTTGCATCATATTTTACATTTGGTATCAAATGTATGTTCGTGGTCAGGTAAATTGTTACCTATTTTTTGCAATTTTCAGTGTTCTGTTTACACGAATGAACAGTTTGTAAGAATAATGTATATCTGTAGTGTACTCAATTTTTTGTTTCTTTGATTGCTAAGTGTACTTATGCTTCTCTGGTAACTGCATGTTTAATTATGTTGAACTAGTGTATTTTTTTTTACTCTTATAAATTTTTTCATTTCAACAGGAATATCAAGTTTTGAATCGAACACATTTTTATAAAATTGCTGACTTTGTTGATGTTTAATAAATTCAGGTGGGAAGATTTAAGAATGATCGTCAATTTCCCATTGCTCTGGTACTTGCTCCAACAAGAGAGCTGGCATCACAAATATACGATGAAGCTAGGAAGGTCACATTTTCTTGCTCTTTTCATAGTTCACTCTATTTTTTTTTAATATTTTATGGCAGTTATCTTAGAAATAACCAAGAATTAATTTTCAAATGATGTTTCTCCAGTTTGCTTATCGTTCTCACATTCGTCCGTGTGTCGTGTATGGAGGAGCTGACATTGGTGAACAAATCCGTGACTTGAGCAGAGGTTGTCATTTGCTGGTGGCAACTCCCGGCAGATTGGTGGATATGATGGAAAGGGGTAGAATTGCTGTTGACAATGTAAGGTAGGTTCCCTTTAAGTCCATTAGAAACATTGGGATCTTTTTTTCTGTTTCAGATTTTTTATGAACTTTTTCAATAGCAGAAGATTATTTTGTCGGTTGAATATAAATAAACATGCCAATTAATTAATATTCATCAGGTTCTTGGTCTTGGATGAGGCAGATCGCATGTTAGACATGGGTTTTGAACCTCAGATCAGAAGGATTGTTGAAAAAGATTCCATGCCTACAACAGGAGAGAGACAAACTCTCATGTTCAGTGCCACTTTCCCCAAAGAAATTCAGGTATCCAGTTGATCATCGCCAAATTGTATTAACGGTTTTCATTGCTCGTATTGAAACTTATTTAGAAACTTTATTATAAATTATTTTCAGATGCTTGCCAAAGACTTTCTGCATGATTATATATTTTTGGCTGTAGGGAGAGTGGGCAGTACCAGTGAAAACATCACCCAGAAGGTGGTTTGGGTAGAGGAAGAAGAAAAGAGATCTTCCTTGCTCGATCTCATTGCCTCCAATGGTATGTTTCATTTTCTTCATTACCACTGAAAAATTCTGCACATTTAAGATTTTGTGTGGTGAATGTATCTAGAATAATTTAATATACTTTCTTCTTTATGAAATCTCTTAGAAGTACTTTTTTCAAATCCAAACAACCTGTTTGTTTTTTTTCTTGAGTTAGTTATGGCTGGAAAATGGAATCCGGTAAATGATAATAGAAAAAAAAGTTGTGAAATAAAATGTGATCATATTAACTGAAGAGGGGGTTTAAAATTTAATCAGGATCAATTAAAAGAACTGATTTTTTGTGATTGTTAAAAATGTAGTGTCATTAAAATAGACTTGCATGAATAATTTAAATTGAGCTATTGCAACTCCTTAAAAAAAATCAATTGCCAACTCTTTGCTATAAGTGTTGCCAGAGATATGCAATTAAGCACTTAAATTGTTCTAAACATAGGTGCATTCAACATTTTGCAATAAAACTTTAAAAACTGTTGAATAATGAAGAACTGGAAGTAGTAGGTATTGCAGCATAGAAAAGATTTGTTCTATTTTTAAAGAAATTGCAGTTAATAATTTGTGTTTGTCATTGTAAAATCTTTTCTTCCTGAATTTATCTCTAAATTGAAAGGTCTATAAAAAATAAAAGTAAAGATGCGAATGTGATTTTAATGTCATGACAATCGTTTTTTAGGACCAGATGCACTGACCTTGGTTTTTGTAGAGACCAAAAAAGGTGCGGATGCACTTGATTATTTTCTGTACAAGGAAGGCTTTCCATCCACAAGTATCCATGGAGACCGTACTCAGCAGGAGAGGGAAGATGCTTTGAGAGATTTTAGGGATGGCAGGACTCCGATACTTGTCGCCACGGCTGTTAGTGTTCATTTCTCTATCCGCTTATTTCATTTTAATTTGAACGAAACATAAAATTATTTCTTTATTACAAAATAAATTATTTCTGTCTAATTTTATCAAATTTCATGCTGTCTCGTTTTGGAGGATCTGGATCTAATTGGAAAAAATTATTGCTATTTCTTTTCTTTTTATTAGCCTACTTTTTGGACATATTTTTTTGTCAACTGCAGGAGTAACAATGCATATCTTACATAACATAATAATTTGATCTTTTTAACAAATCAATAACCTTTCAATGCTAATTATGTTTTTTTATTTATAAACAAAATTCTACTTAATTTTCAACAGGTTGCAGCTCGAGGTCTTGATATTCCCCACGTGAAGCATGTCATTAATTTTGACTTGCCAAGTGACATCGAGGAATATGTCCACAGGATCGGACGTACTGGGAGAGTGGGCAACCTTGGTTGGTTTAGCGTCATTAGCCTCATTCAATGTTTCATAACACTGGAGCTTTTTTAATCTTTTTCTTTTACTTGAACCTAATTAAACATAATAATATGAACATAATGTATGCATCGTAAAGTTTTAAAAGATAATGACGGATTCACCAACAACTTTATTGAAACGTCTGTTTTATAGGCCTGGCAACTTCGTTCTTCAATGAGAAAAATAAAAACATACTAAAGGATTTGCTGGACATTCTGGTTGAGGCTCATCAGGAAGTACCACCCTGGTTGGAATCACTTGCTTACGAATCTAGATATTCATCTTCTGGAAATAGAAGACCTCCCAATAAAAAGTATTTAGTAAAAATTGCTTATCTGAGGTTTTTAAAAACCTCTTATTTGCATTTTTGAAAGATTTTTTTAAATTATAGTTTTTTGAAATACTTCAAAAGCAATTTCTTAATTTTCTCAGAACGTATGGAATGGGTGGAAGCTCTTTTGCATCAAGGGATTATCGTCAAATGAATTCGGACAAGAAGATGGGTGGAGGAGGAGGAAGTATGAGTAGGAACAATAGCGGTGGCTCTGGAAATGGAGGCTATGGAGGTTCTTATGGTGGCTCATATCAGAGCAAGTCAGATCAGGATTGGTGGGGCAACTAATTAGTTGCTGCTGTAGCTGTAGCTGCTGCTGCCCGATACTCAAGCAGTAATTGGATAACTGATTCAACGATTGTGTGTTGTTTACATTTGGCATGTTTTGTTTTGTTCCTAAGGTAATTCAGTTAATGTTAAATATGATTTAATTTGTCAAACTTATTGTTATTTCATGTTGCATTACATATCTATATATCTGTGCACATTTTGTGTGCATATATATATATATATATATATATATATATATATATATATAGCCTGATTACAACTCTACTGTATGTTCACAAGTGTATGAATGCAACAAACATTTGTGTATGCATTATGTATGTATGTATATATATATATATATATGTATGTATGTATGCATATATATATATATATAATAAAAATGGTTATCTCTTTTGTTAATATTTCGTTATCTATATATATATATATTATATATATATATATATTATATATATATATGTGTGTGTGTGTGTGTGTGTGTGTGTGTGTGTGTGTGTGTGTGTGTGTGTGTGTGTTGGTAATAGACCATAATTTTTACAATATTCTATAAATTCTACCTGAATGTTTGGCGTTGATATGTTTGTAGTTCGTTTTTTAGTAGTGAGAAAAATCGAAAAAACGAACTTCAAACATATTAACGCCAAACATTCGGTAGAATTTATAGAATATTGTAAAAAATAAATAAATAAATATATATATATATATATGTATATATATATATATACATATATATATATATATATATATATATATATATATATATATATATATGTAGACATAGACATTGGTTATCATATAGTTTAACACTTTTTTATTGTTTACTTGTAGTTTGATCATTCAATATTGTAGTCTTATCACATTATTATTCAAAGATTTTTGTAATAAATGAGTATTCGCAGATTGAAATAAGAAAAGTTTTTGGTCTTTACAGATATATATAAATATTGGATTAAGACTCAGATATATATATATATAAATATATATATGTATATATATAAATATATATATATATATTTGAAAGTAAGTTTAGGATGTTTAAACTTTAAGATAGAACATATCAACTTAAATAAAAATTTTCTTAAGATTATGGCCTACTTTTAGTGATGATACTATTTTATCCATTTTCTTGTTACAACATTTTAAAAAATGTTCATTGAAGTTAGGTCAATGGTTCGGAATGTTATCTCCTCCTCGTGGTCGCCATTGTGTACATAACTTTTTTCACTTGTTTATTCTCGTTTAGATAGAATCGTAACTTTCTCATTCTACCTTTTTAGTAAATCTTCATTTGGATAATATTTCTGTTAAATTTTCAAAAATCTGTGACAATAGCCCTTGACCATTATTTACTTGGTAATAAATAAAATTGCATTTTAATTTCATCTTAGCAGTCGGTTGGTATATTATATATTTCTACATTTTTATAAGTTTATATATATATATATATATGTTTTCATATATATATATATATATATATATATATATATATATATATGAAGAGAAGAGTTTTGTTTATATATGTGTGTTCAACTGAATTGAAAATACGTAAATGAGTATATTAATTTTGTGTTTATATATGCAATAATGCATATATATATATAATATATAAATATATATATATGTCTATTTGTATGTACTCTGTATGTAAGACATCCAAACGTATATGTGTGTATACGTATGTGTGGTTTTCTTTGCGGAATAATTTAATAATTAAAGCTGTTTCTTGGTCAAACGAATTTTTAAGAAAGGTGTGAACCTGAATGTGAAAAACAGACGTGAGTTGGACAAAAGAGATTCATCGTCTGGAGTTGTTTGAAAATGATACAATCGGAATCAGATGCTCGGAAAATTTTTGGGTGTGCTCTTAAAAATTAAACTTGGCAACAATGCCTTGAAAAGGTTGAATCAGAGATAATGTTAAGCAGAATGTTTGATTATGATCAGACAAAAAAGCTCGCAAAAATATTGAAAAATATGAAATTATGAGGGTATAATGTAAAGATACTTGGTGGTAGAGCTGAGCTAGCTAAAATTATACCCTGTCTAGATGATTTTTTTAAACTATTTCTAAAATAATATTTACCCAGTAAAGCTTAGCAAACTAGTTTTTTATTTTATGTCTTAAGGTTATGCATTTTTTTGAATGATCCCGTGATAAAGAGTTTTCAAAGGGTGACTTAACCGACTTGGTTCCCCGATTTCTAAACAGTTACCGCCCGTATCAACTCACTTGTGTACAATCTCTTATGGAATTTATGGTTATTTCGCCCACTTTACAAAGTGCATAAGTGCTTATCGTCTGCGTATGTGAGTATATAAAATTGTATGAACTTGTTAAATATTGTATATGTTTGTATATATACATATATTAACATGTGTATAAACATATATTATATATATATATAAGATAAAATTATACAATGACGTGAAACTTAAGTTAACAGGAGTGCATCTTGTTAGTACAATATACTGTATTTAACTTGTTATATTTGTTCAACCTAGGATTATTACGGGTCGGATAAATCCATTTCTTGATATCTCTAATATATTTCGATGATTTATATATTTTTGTGTTACAAATAAAATCCAAACAAATTTTTTTCAAGTTTGATTCATTATACATTTTTTTATGTCTGAATACTGACCACAAGATGCCAATTCATAATTTTAAGATTGTTGCGTTTAGTTTCCTTAACATTTATTTGGTACTTCATCAACATTGTTTTCGTAATTATAAACAAACAATAATTATTTTGCGGTTAATGAGGATGGAAGGCAAACAAATAAATGAATATATTTATTACATATTGTATTCCCCAATAGCCAAGAAATTGAAGTGACAGTATTAAGTAAAATATAATTTTATTCATGGAATTTTGAACTGAAATCGCCCTATTATGCCTACTTTTTCTATTATGAAATTTTTGACAACATTAAGCTTTCCAAAACGATAAACGAGATGTATTGAAAAAAATCCATATTCATGATATTCGCTTCGTCTCAAATCTCATGCGATACGAGAAATCTATTGTTATACAATAAGGTAACTGTTATAAATTAACGATATAAGCAAAAGATGGAGATAAAGGGCATGTCAATATTAACTAATGATGTAGTGGCTCATAATTATATATATATATATAATTATATATATAATTATATATGTTTATATATATATATATATAACGATTAAAAGGTTATGTAACAATACGTTTAGTTTTAAAGAATTTTTCGAACTTTTTTTTAACATTTGGTATTTTGTTCTTTGGGTAAAATGAGGAGTATTTGAACTAGATCATCACGCAATAGCAATGGGCTTCGCGGATATCTACCGTCTGAGTGTTGGCCCTCGCCAGCCAATATCATATTGACATTGTAAAAAAGAACAACTGGAAAATTAGAACAACATTTAGGTTTTAATGAAGAAAATAATTTTATCATTGGTGGTCTCAACCCAATATTTATTTCGAAAATACGGACTAGTTGCGCCGACACTTGCATATATCTGAAAGATGTTAACTCTAGTCTTAGTAATAGGCTACTAGAGAAGAAAAAACTAATTGCCCAAATTAATATTGCTAAAAACGCAGTGATCTGGGTGAAGAGCAAACACGTTCAAGAAAAGACACACCAAATCTCTCGGCAAGGTGATTGACAAAAAAATGTTACAAAATTACCTACCTTAGTTTAATAGATTTTTAAAAGGCGTCTGACTTGGTCTCACACAAAGAATTGTGTGCAACTAAGAAAATTATTATTATTATAGTGACTGCATTTATAAAATTTTTGTCTTCAAATTAAAAAAAATTTAGTTTTTTCATGCAATTTAATTTTATAGTATAGGCAGTTATGTTGAGAATAAAAATATGGAAACAGTTTTACCAAAACGATGATTAGAAAAGCGGAGACCTTTTTTGATGAAATTTTAAAAGAAGAAGAAGCGACGCGTTTAGTTAGCCAATGTGATCTTTAAATAAATTATTTTTTGTTATCTTCAATGATAAAAAAACAATGAAAATTATACTTAAAAACTCTTCTTTAGCAAGTTTCTGTCCAGAAAAAACTATGATGCTCATTTCACAGAGTTAGACGACGAGCTAAAACACTTTGACAAAAAACTCAAAACCTACAGATTGAGAGTTACATGTGAAAAAAATTATTGCATTTTCATTTCAAAAAGTTGAGACATTCCTAAGAACATACGTGATTACGCACGTAGAAATACGATGACAGTCCGAAGTTGCGTTAAAACTTATCTGGTAAACGTTATAGGACAACAAAGGCTAACGTCTTTAGCAGTGTCAGAGTCGGTCGGAGATTTTTGTCGAAGTTGGAATTTTTTAAGAGACCTGAGTCGGAGTCAGATTTTTTTATCCGACTCCGAAAAATGTTATTTTTTTCTGGAAAATTTTTTTTAAGATTGTGTTTTTTAGAAGATAAACATATGTAGCAATCTTTAATATTGAAAATAAATGCCATTAATGTAAATAAAACCACATAATTTTTTAAGTATGTTGTAAAACATAAAAATAAAGCAATTATATTACGAAAAACAATTACATTTATTGATTTCAAGTTCTTTTTTCAAGTAGTTTTCATTTAGTACTGATAATAAGGTGAAATTATGAGACAAAAGTTAAAAATTTATTTTTTCTGAAATTCTGAACCCGGAGTCGGGTTTTTGTAGGGGCCGGACTAGGAGTCGGATTTTTTGGAGAGGCCGGAGTCGGATATTTTTCATCCGACTCCGACATACTGGTCTTTAGCCAATCTGTCGGACTTCACTCTGGAATAACTAATGTGTAATTTGTAGAACAACGAGAAAGGTTATCGATCGTAATCAACAATAATGTAAACGTGATATTTAATTACATTAGTCTAAATACTTAAATCGCAGTCATTGTCTTCAGCTTAACTCATGATTATTCTCATGCAAAAAATTTTCATTTGTCCAGCAATTCATTTATACAGTAATTTTTGAATTTAACTTTCAAATGTTGAGCTCATTTTTGAAAATCAAAATCCACTTTTCTCATTTGCTTATTTGGTTGAATAATTTTTGAAAAAATTTATATTATATACACGAAAAAGTTAACTTTATGCGAAGATCTTTTCTGCCTAATGGGTATGGCTGTAAAATGAATTATTGTGTTAGAAAACAAATCAGCACTTCATGCTGTTCACATGGTTTGTCACTGATTATAAACATGTTTAGTTTGCTATATTTTGCTCAATTAATAAATTTGTTTCTATTTTTTCATCATATTTTTTGGGTTACAAAAACAGTCACGACGTTTGAGATGGCCAAGAGATAGATAGAGAGTGGAGAAAGAAATGGAGAAAAAAAGAATGAGAAAGAGAGAGAGAGAGATAAAAAGAGAGCACATGGAACGAACTCTATTCCAGTTCGAGCAAATCACGCTTCATCAGCCCTACCATACGTGACTTTTATTTTCACATGATCGTTCGGCATCTGATGATGACAACACGACTGAAAGACCTAAATAAAGACTGCCACGTTTATCCGAGATTTATTCGAGCAGCGTTTCTCTGTCTGCATCTTTATCTATTCTTTCTGAAAATGTGTTCAAAATATTCTGAAACAAATATTTATTTGTTCAAATAATTTTCATGGAAATGTCTTGAAGGATGTTTTTGAAAGTTTGTTAATATTCAATTTAATTCTATATAACGCCTTGGTTTATTTTCCTTAGAAACGTTTATATATTTTCTAATTAAAAAATTTGGCGAAAATTTAACATAGATTCGAAGAATTGTGTTTTTAGCAATTTATAAAAACAAATAATTGCCCTCAAATCGTTATTTGAAATTATACCATTCAAAAATGTAACCTGAAATAAATAAAACTATGGTGAATCTGAATGGAAATGCTGCTGAGCAATAATGGAGTTCATTAAGATGCGCCGACGATGACGATATGGCGTGGCAGACACATATCTACTTGCAAGTATCATTACTCAACGCTCGCCTGTCCACTTAATTTTACGTTTGACCTATGGTCAACCTAAGGTCATCTGATTGAATTGTAATGATAACGATTACGGTTTTGAATGTGGAATAATAGTGATGATGAAACTTCTAGACCGTGAAGTACGAAAGACGATCTACTGAAAATATTATCAACAGTGCAAAATTTAATCCACCACTGACCAGTCTTAATCATCATTAAATGAAGACTTTGCAGTCAATATGTGTGAAGTTTTGAGTGACAAGCGCATGCAAGTTGTTGTTTGTGTATGTATGTGAGAAATGCAAGCCAAACAAGTCTCCTAATCACACGTCACGATGAGTATGGAGGTACACAAGCAAGCAAGCCAGAATAGAAAACAATCATGCCCGGTTAAACACAACTACCGTTTTGGGACCGCGATAGTTTTATTTGTTAACATTATCAGATTCAGCGAGTGTCTTATGTTGTTATACGTCAACTGTAAGTTAAGTTGGCTACCGCAGTTTCCGGAATTATAAATCTTCGATCGTGCCATGCCTAATGTTTCCTGCGGAATAATTTTTTGAAAAACAAAATTATTTGCTACAAAAAATGGAGAGCAAAAACTAGTTTAAAAAATAAGCAATAAAATGTGAAAGGGCACTGTTGAATTCACTTGTGCATTTAAAGCACCCAAGCTGGCTTAAATAAATCTTTAAATTTTCAAAATTGTTTTAATATTTTCAACAGTCATAAGCCTATAACTAAACATTTTCATCAAGCTAAAAAAATTATACGTTTAAAATGTTTATAACTGTGATGGTAAATGTTTAAAGGAAAAGAATACAAACAATTTTATTTTTCTGATATGTGCTCTAGGAATCATTTTTAGCAGGCACACATTCGACCATGTTGAGCAAAGAAAGAAAGAAACGTTGGTAAGGAAGGACAGAGATGGAAGGAAGAGAGGGAGGGAGATAGGGAAAGAGACAGACAAACACGGAGAGAAGCACACGCATCATGGAACTGAGTATATTATTAGTGGTTCCAGGGAGACTCGGATGAGAGTTGCTCAAGACGATCTCCAGTTGAAAATAAAGTATCGCAAACATTCGGAATTTTTTATACGAGGCAAATTTTCGTTCCTATCGACGCGACACAACATCATCCGCCTAAAACATAAAACAATGCCATTCTCTGTCAATGTTTATATAACATTAAGCAACAAATATTATTTGGTAAATTACTAAGAGTGACTCTTAATGCAAGCTTATTACAAAATGTACATGTATGTATATTTATGATATTCCTTTTTGAAGTTGTAAATGAATTGAAAATAAAAATTCCAATTTGAAAAAATTTCCAAAGGCATAGAAATCTAATTTAGTGTCCCTACCAAGAAGAAGCCGACGCTCAAAAATAAAAAATAAACGAAACCATACCTAGTAGACAGAACACACAAATTATACGTTTAAAATTAAACTATTTTAAATAATTTATGCAAATTTTACGTGAAGGTGTTTAAAGTATGTGATTAAGCTACAGAGCAATAACAACTAGACAATGACATTGAATGGAATGGCACGCTCAGACGAGCACACGACACAGGCAGGCAAAATTTGAAGATTGGTTAGATTTGTCCAGTGAGTATTTGAATGATAAATGACTGAATGGACTTCCATCATAATATTACCTTGCTCATTTCGACACATTTCACGCCTTACTTACTCTTCCTACGAGCCATGTTTTCGTTCGTTTCAACAATTATAACAGCCAAGTTTGTTACGCAGTCAGTTGACTCGATCTTATGTTATTGTAAAACCGCATAAGAATGGCTAACTTGTCAATTGTTATGTATTAATAGATATTATAAAGATATTTTGATTGCAAACAGCTGTATTGTTAAACGATTAAAAATAGTATTTTACGTTGTAAACATGAGACGTGCGTACCGACAAAAATTGAATGGCGGAAAATAATAACGTTCTATAACGTTCATCACATAACGAAGATACAGAGAGCAGAAAAAAAGTTATTTTAAAAATCGTAATCATAAATATGTGTGTTTGAGTGTATGTGTGTTTGAGTGTATGTGTGTTTTAGTGTGTATGTGTGTTTTGGTGTGTATGTGTGTTTTAGTGTATGTATGTAAGCGTAGTAGTACTTTGGCACTTATTAGAATATTCTACGTGATCCAATACAAAGACTTCAAGCAACGTCAACATCGTCGATCATATGACAAGAGCAACCAATAAGATATAAGATGCACGCAGGGGGATGGCTCAACGTTGTCTTTTATGCTCCATCTCAGGTTTCATTTTCATTTTTTCCACGCATCTCAACAACTTTTTAATTTTTTTATTGTAATAAAATGCGTTCAACGCGATTATTACGTTCAGGTAAGTAGTTTCGTAAACAAGTTAATGGCATTTACAGTCTTATAAATTTTCAAACAAAATGTTCGATTAGATAATTTCTATGAATCAATAAATTAATTCATGGCAACCTAGTTAAACTGACAGCCACCAACACGCACAAAAGTTACGTTCACAAATAACAAAAATTTAGTAAATAAGTGTGGATTATATTGGATTATATACAAACACATATACACACACACACACAAACACACACACACACACATATATATATATATATATATATATATATATATATTTCAAAATTTTGAATAACTCATTCAAGAGTAATGTTTTCCTGTTTTTGATTTCTGCAGAAAAAGTTTTGAAATGTTTCGTTAACAACAGTCTGTTACCAAAATATTTATATTTATGTATATATCGTTTTATTATTCAATCCCTGCCATCTTATATCTCTTTCCGTAATTTACCTTTTTTAGGCATCCAATCAAGACACAAAATACGTGTACTGTCGACTGTGCAGCTCTGAAGTTGGCGTTTTAAATCGGGATACTGATGAGTCCCATAAGGAACGAAACGCGTCTAGCCTAAGACGAGTAAGGTGCTCACAGTAACGTACCTTTGGTCGGCAATTCTCGCCTCATATATAAAAATTTTATTGAATGCAGGTAAAAGACCATAATTAATGCAGTAATTATGAAATCTAAAAAAAATTCTAGCGTTGGATATTTTTTTGTAACATTTCTCAAGATTTCGAACCAAATTCTTGTCGTCATTATTTATTTTATTAACATTAGAATAATATACAGTTTTCCAATTCATTCTCGATCATCATCAGCACTTGTTGCAGTTTATCTAGAGAATTTGTTTAACCCAGTACTTGTTGCAATTTATATAGGAAATTTGTATATTTCATAATCAATTAGTTTTGGAGGCAACTGAGTGACTAAATTTTGCTTCGCTGTTAATTCACGAAAAAGATGGAGCATTCGTTGCTCACGTTCTTGTTCGCATGTTAAGTTTTTTTGGTTTTTTGGTTTTGGTTCAATGATTTGCATTTATCGTTACAATAATAACGATGAATGCAAATCACAGGAACAAAGGCCTGGGTTATACAAATTCGTTATATAAATTGCAAACAGTGCTGAAGATGATTGAAAAATCGAAATAGGTCCTATACACTCGAGAATGAATTGGAAAACTGTATATTATTCTAATGTTAATAAAATAAATAATGACGATAAGAATTTAGTATATAGTGTCATATAGTTTTAGTTATTTATCTATTTATTTATATATACACATTTATACATTTATATATATATATATATATATAATGTTGAACCACGTCACGCTAGCTCTTGAAGGAAATATTTCTGATCACTACTGTGGAAAAACCATTCAAAATAAAATGATAGATGTAATGGCATCAAAAATAACAGAGATAATTATATCCAAAGCTATACAGGCTACTCTGTTATTGTTGACTGCACTCGGATTAAAATTGCAAATATATCAGAATGTTCCATAAAAATAAATAAACAATTCTTTGGTTTTTTATTGTTAACGACTCGACGGATCTTGGTTTAAAAGAAATCATAATTGGAGCCTTAAAAAAATTTGAATTGAATATAAGTCTTAGCCGAAGGTAAGGGTAAGACAATGGCGCAAATATGAAAAGCAAAAATATTGGTCTCCAGAAAAAATTTGGAATTTAAGTTATTTGGCTTTTAACCTTCCTTGTGGAAGCCACTCCCTCAATTTAGTTATTAGTGATGCTGCACAGTCTTCATTCAATTTGTCAACATTTTTGAAAGAGAGTATTCACTTTATTTTCTGCGTTCATTTCTTGTTAGAATATTTTATTCAGCCACGTAACAAATTTACTCTTAAAACGTTATGTGATATTCGTTGGGTAGCCAAAATTGAAAGTTTCCAAGCAATCCGATACCAAATAAGTACTGTGCATGATGCTTTAATTACTATATATGAAACAAATACTTAAAACTCCTGACATTGCACACGAAGAACAAATGTCGTTTAAAGGCCGTTTTAAGGCGTTTTTTTTGGTGGATATTGTATTACATTAGCAGAACAATCAAAAAATTATAGCTTTCTAATCACTTTAATTTCATGGTACAATGCACAGTTTCAAATAAACGTTGCTAGTGAAGCGATGCAGGTCAAGGACATGGATCTGGTAAAGTGCACTGAAATGCTTAAAAATATATTAAGTATTTAGAAAATTACAGAATGTTTGGCTTTAAACAAGCAATGGTTGATGCTAAATAATTAGATGAAAACTTAAACTCCTGAGTCTATACTGAGATGTCATTTTGATAAAAACGCTGCTGACGAACCAATCCAGGATCGAGAGGAGAAACTTTAAGTGGATCTTTTTAACCCTTTATTAGGCACGTGTCTGTCATCAATTAAAGAACGATTTGAACAACTGGATGAATATGTAAATATATGAGTTTGTTTATTTAGTTTAGATAATTTGTCCATCAAGTGTGAACTTTGGAAATTGTGGAAAGAATTGCAAAAAATTTGTTCAAAGTCTGATGTTGATGGTGCTATGCTATGTGACGAACTAATAAGTGTTCAGTTTTTTAAAATAGGTGAAGTGGAAGTTGAAAAAGTAGAAAAAATGACACCCTTCATTGTATTGAATTTTATTAAAAAGATATTTATTACAAGAACAAGAATTATATCCAAACACATGGATTGTTTTGCGCATTCTTCTTACAGCACCTGTAAGGAGCGGAGCTTTTCTAAACTGGAGACAATTAAAATACACTTGAAAAGCACTATGTTGCAAGATCAACTTAATTCTTTGGCAAATTATCAAGCAAGAAATAACAAAAAATTTAGATTTTTCAAGCCTAATAAAAAATTTTGCTGACAAAAAACGTAGGAGAGTTACATTTTAATAACTTTAATCAATGTTTCGTAGATTTAATTAGAAGAATTTATCCGTGTAATAAAATCGCCCTTTGTATTTGTTGCATTCCTTATTTATATACTTGTTTTCAATAAAACTTATCTTTAAAAAAATTTATTTTTAACTTAGATTAAAAATTAATTAAAAAATCTCTTTAGCATATATCTACAGTTTTTCCTTACTGGCCTTGCTTGTAGCTACTCGTTCGTTAATTTTAGGCTATCTAATGTACCTTCATTGTTAATATCAATAATACATAGGGACGCCTCTACAAGTTTTTCCCGACCCATCTGAAAAGCTAAGGTCTGTGCTGACATACATAAATATATGCATACGTACATACATACGTACATATATGCCTACATACATATATATATACATACGTACGTACATATATACATACATAAAATCATTATAAAATGCCAGACTGGCCACTCTCCCTTTTATAAATAGAATTGACAGTTGTGTAATGTGAAAGATATTGTAAAGGTGCTGTGTAAGAAGGTGATCCAGGTTTCATGGAATCGTTTATGAAAGTTTGTAGTCTGGTTTTGTTTCCGTTTTGTTATATAACGTCCATTTTTTCAATAATTTTTTCAATTTTCTAAATAGTATTTTTTGTTCGTTTATTCATTCGTTCATTAATTAATTAGTTAATTAATTTGTTTATTTATTTATTGAGTGTTTCATTCGTCAATTTATTCATTCACTTTGTTATTTTTTTATTTAATCATTTATTTATACGCTTGCCCATTTATCTTCGTAAGAACCTTGGTGGAAGTGCATGCATGCATGTGCTTATGGACTCACAATTAATGTAAAATTTTTGTTTAAAATTATGGATACGATAAGATCTTAATTATTGATAACAAAATATTACATTTTCATTTATTTTGAGTGTCTACTTTCTCTACATGCACCCTTCTGAAAGATTGGAATAATCTCATTAAGTTATGAAAATTATTGAGTGGTGCCGGAAATAAAATTATTATTTGTAATAATTTCCATTTTGTTAGAGATTAACAAGCGGAGATTTATTTGAGTATATATTCTGTGTTCTATGTTCTATGCAATCATCTCATCAATTCTCCTACAGCAAACTTTCCATCATCAAAATTACAATCAGTAAATGCGTTTTTGCAGAATTTGATCTGTGTGGTGCCGGGTTGTCAATGCTTGATGTTCAACAGCAGTGCTTTCGACACTCGCCTCTGTGGCCACTGTGGGCACACGTGGTTCGCACATGGTCAGTTAGTTGCTCATTATTTTTTATTACTAATTTAAAAAAGGTTTAAATTTTTGTTTTTCTGTATGTCTATATTTTATTTCATTTTCATTAACTGAAAATGCGATGTAACAAACAAAATAAATGTCACTTTTTTGGCTAGCAATAACGACAACAAAATTTGATAAACTCAATGCTTTCAAACTTTTTAAACGCATAACTAAATAATTAGAATTAAAAAATCTTACTTTCAATAAATTTTTAAATGAACAAAAATAAAAATTCAGTTAATAATTTGTGCTGACCTTATTTATAAAAATCAGTTAGCTAAACCCCCAAAAAGCTAAAAAAATATAATTTGCATAAAAGTAGCAGTCAATAATTTTATTGAGCACGTTTTGATACTCTTCATGATACTCTTCACGTAAGGTGATCGTATCGCCTTTTCGTCAATCTAATTTTCATAACTTGTTTATCACCAACCTTTTTAATAATTAAACTAATTTTTAATGGATGATCGTACGACGCTTAACAATTGACAAAACAACAACAATCAGTAATCAGTAGCACATGGACTCGGCAGCAGAGCAAGGTGGAAGAAAATGACGAAGACGACAACGATGACGCCAACACTGAAGAGACCAGTGGTTCTCACATTTCTGGAATGAACGAGAGATTTGACTCAAAGTCACACCAGGAACATAAAGTGGAACTCGGTCCACTGGTCGCTATGACGAGTCTCGTCCTCTTCGGAGTGCAAGCAGTTTCAGCCAAGTTGAAAATTTTATTGGATCGCATATTTGGACAATATGGCAGAGAGTGCTGTCAGATTTATAAGGAGTCAGACGATGTAATCATACATATGAAGCTGCTGGAAGATCTCCTGAAATATTTCGGCTGGACGTGGGACGACTACACAAGGGGCTATCTCTTGAAAGTAAGATTTTTTAGTCTAATTTGTGCAATAATAAAGTTTACTTACGTTTCGTGCTTTAAATCATAATCAAATTTGTTGTCTTATCAAACGTACATAGAACATTCATCAACGGCTTTTTTTTATAATTCGGCTAGAAAGGTTTAATCAGGTTTAATTAATTTTATTAGTGTGTCTTCGTTTTATTCCAAACTAAATCATTCAAAGATGAACTGGTTCAAGTTACATTACGCACATCATACAAAATTGTGCCCATCCAAACAGATGAAGTTATATTTCTAAGTTTTTTTCTATTGGTTTGTACTGACGAAAAGCATGTTTTCGTCGAAATTATGCATTTATTATTTAAATTAAACTCAAAATATTGCTGGTGTGAAAGATTTCATTGCAAATTAAGTAAATCTGCAAGAACATTTTTTTTTTCCTCTTTGTATTTTGACGTTGGTTGTTGAGTTTGTTTGTCCAAAGTTAATTTTATACAATTTTTGTAAATGTTAAGGATGAAAAACTGAATGGACTGACTTCTTTACTAATAAAAAATATAATGAAAAATCTATTCATAAAATTAATATTATGAAAGGGGTAACGATAAATTTGTCCTACAACTGCTGTTGCAAATATTACATAGCTGCAACGCGTTATTGCGACGGTTCGATGTCTTAAGATGGGCTCACCAGATTTATTGCAGGCTGACTCAGGTCAAATCTGAACGTTACGTTTTAATAGCATGCAGACGACCCTTCCTCATAGCAGGCAAATATCTCAAATGCACCTACGTATATGTGCCTGCTTATACACGAGTCCATTCATGTATGCATGTATATAATATACATTGATCTATACGTGCATTGATTTTAGGATTGTACGTTAATCTGCGATTGCACATTGTTTGAATTCCGTTGTTTTCATTGTTTTTCGTAAATTTCGAATAACTTGGGAAAAATATTTTCGGAATTTTACTAAAAATTATTTAAGAATTTAACATTGCGTTTCTGTTTTATTTAGTTTTGTAAGTTTGAAGTAATTTTTAGTTCTATTGTCTTGTTTGATTTTTATTACCAAAGAATATATCTTCATTATTTTATTTAAAAAAACCGCAATAATGTTTTCTGAAAAGAGTGAAGACCAAGCTAATTTTAAATCCATTTCCGCGTCGCAAAAAATAATGTACGTTGCTGAGGTGTAGTTGTTTTTCAGTCTGGTCTGAGTATTTGCCATTAGATGAAATTTTTTGAAAATGAATGACAAAATGCAAACTTGAAATGGTTCAAAGGTGGCTGCTCAAAAATGTCGATAGTCTCAAGAGATTCGTCAAGTTAATTTGTGATAGATTTGATTCTTCCAATGTTTACTAAAACAACTGAATAAAACAAATTTTCGGTTTGATCGATTTGAGTGCAAGATCCATGAGAAATTTTTACGTAAAAATTCTTGTACCTGAAATATAAGTACCTTGATTTTAAAAACACAAAAAATGCTAACTAACAAAGCCAAATCATAAATATTTCGTGTCGTTTTAATACATAAGAAAATAAACTGTTGTGCACGTAAATTCTTTTGTGGACAAAATATATAGAGTACCCACGTTTGAAAAAAGTTAAAAAATCTTCATGTGATTGACCAACAGTCAGGCCCGGTTCTAAGCATAGGCGACACAGGCACATTTTTAAGGTTTTCAAGGGGCGGCATTTTCACTAAAAAAATTATTAATTTTCACTAAACCTTTTCCATGCGATTATCGCTCTAATAAAAATTTTTCAGCAATGAATGAGAAAGCAAAAATGTTAGCAATTGAACAGGAAATTTGTAAAGGATTCGATGAGGAGAAATCTACACGTGTGCTCAAAAAACCGGTAATTTTTAAATGGAGACAATGATGAACCGATAGTATTACCTGAAAAAAATGTTTGGAGTATCTTTTTACAAACAACCAGATATTAGACATATCAATTAAAGCAGTAAATGATAGATTTACTCAATTACTAGAACACGAGTTATTTGGGCTTTTGTACAATATTAAACGGTATGAATTTAAAGGATGACGAGTTATTAAAGCACTGTAAGGAGTTACAATCAGATGGTGAATCAGATATCAACGGAGGGGAACTCCAATCAAAAAGTGATCCAAAAAAATGTTTAGCAATATATTTTTTCTTCAAAATTTGTCGATGTATTTCCCAACCTTTCCATAACTATTTGGATTCTACTAACATTATCAGTTACAATAGCTAGTGCCGAAAAAGTTTTTCAAAGTCAAAAATAATAAAATCATATTTGATGTCTCAAATGTACTAAGATCGTTTGGTATGTCTTGCTGCCATTTCAAACAAAAAGCAAATTGACGATCAATTGGATATGGAAGAATCAATCAAAAATTTTTGAATTTAAAGCCAGAAAAGTTTATTTTTAAATATAATTTATTTTATATAGATTAATAATTTGTAAATATGTTTTTAAATATGAATAATTTATTTGTTTAAAGTTTTCAAATGATTTTTCTAATAAAGTTGAATGAGATTGGAATAATATAGATAATCAGATTTTATTTTATTTTTCAAATAAAATATTTTTGGAGAGGGGCGACAAAGTCGCATGTTGCCTATGCACTATGCATGTTGTCGCGGTTTAAACCGCAAAAACCGCACCGCAACCGCGGTTTTTTGCGGTTGCGGTGCAAAATCATGCGGTTTTACGCGTTTGTGGTTTTGAAATAAGCGGTTTTTCCGCGGCGTGGTTTTTTTATCAAAACCGCGGTGACCGCAAAAATTTTATTGAATATTTTTGTTCGTCCATAACATTTTTAAAATTGCATTATCATTGTAATAATTTTATATATTAAAATCTTAATATCTTTGGAAGCCGTTGAAGCAACCATTTTCTTTTTCCTGTTTACTTTGAAAGAAGTAGTTATTTTATTTACGGCGTGGTTAATTATCGATTATTTTATAAAAATGTCAGAGGATGATAATGAATTTTTGATTAAATTGATGCTGTCCAAAAGTTTCGAGTGTTTCGTCAGAAAGGATAGGATCATCTAAAATTTTTGATTAAATTGATGCTGTCCAAAAGTTTCGAGTGTTTCGTCAGAAAGGGTAGGATCATCTCTCAATTATACACTGCAAAAGAGACGGTCCAGTTTAATTTAAATCCATACAAAATTGACAAAATGTTATTTATTAAGAGTAACAGTGATTTGGATGTGGATAGTTGTGATTTATAATGCCAATAAAAGCATTAATGTTGTTTTTCATTTTTTGCGGTGCGGTTGCGGTTTTCGGCGGTGCGGTTTTGTGCGGTTGCGGTTTTCGACGCTGCGGTGCGGTTGCGGTTTCAAATGTTGCGGTTTTGTGCGGTTGCGGTTTTTGAAAATTCCAACCGCGCAGGGCTCTACTATGCACAAAAAGTTTTCTGGAACCGGGCCTGCCTGTTGGCAGGCCCATGATGTTATTTAATGTTTATTAACATTAATTAATTTATAAATTAATTAATATTTAATTTAATCTATGATATATTAATATGATAATATTGTTATGATACATTGTGGCAGATAATGAATTAAGACATATAACTATACATCATAAACAATGTTAAATATTATCGCTAGTAGTAAACATCTCAGTTTGTATCCGATAAATAAAAACATGCGAAAATGTTGCGTCATGCACGTTAGGGATGAAAAAGTAAACAATGATAATGTAGCGCTATATCAAGGAACAATAATGTATTGCCTCTAATGGTATTTGATCGTAGTTAATGGGATATTAAGCGTTCGCACTTTAGAACTCCTACAGCTTCGAGTTACGTTTGATGAGAAGATTTCACAAATTTATCGCCCGTACTGACAGGGTCGCTGAGCTAAGCATTGACCACCGTCGGTCGCTTGATGGCTGCTGCTGACGTTGTTGCCGCTGCGACAATGAAGCTCACTAAACACTAAATTTATATATATATATATATATATATATATATTAATTATGAGCTTATTCTGTAGCATGGAAAATGTTTGTACTCTTTTAAAATAATTGTGATCTGATTTTTTATTTGATTTCGTGTAAGGGTTTTTTACTTTTTTAGATAAATTTTATTCAAAAACTTCAAATAAATCAAATTTTAAAACAACATTGCAACAATGGTAAAATTTCAAATCTCGCCAAAAAACCGCATAAAATCTAGTTTCAGTCTCCATTTTTTATGCTAGCACAACTTCAGTGGATCTTCAAAAGGAGAAATTTCTTGTGGGATCATAACTAGGCAATTAAGCGTAGTATGGTAAAACGTGAACAACAAATATCGCGAGGTTAAATTGTTTAGTTGTTACAGAAGCGACCTGCCATCAACCAACGATGAGCACAATCTTCACGCCTGTCTGCCGTAACAAACGAGCCAAGTGTCCTTTTGTCTCAACCTACGTCCATCAACGCACAATTACGCCTCCAGCCATCGAATTTTATTCAGTTCTTTTTCTTTTGTCAGGTCATGTTAAACGCCAAGCAGGTCATAATATAGATTCGAATAGTAGAATGCACCACGTGCACACCACATTTATTAATGTCTCTACACGGGCTTATTACTCCCGTGATTACTGGTATCGTGTATACGTTCGTATGTTCGTGTGCATTTGAATGCGCTTATTTATCTGTGTGTCTGTGTGACTCTGCGCTCATCTGTGTTGTCAAGAGCTACAGCTACCTCTACGTAATTGAGTTATGCAATGTTACCGTTATATTTGCATGTGTGCAGTTTGAACAAATGCTGAAGAGAGCCAATAAAAATTTAGTCAAATTATCTTTTTAAACCCCGTTAACCTGAATTAGCATATTTTATTTACTGCTGTTGCAAAGTACAAACACTTAGGCGCAAAAGCACATAATGTATAGGCACACACACACACACGTGCACAAGTGGTGAAATTTGCAGAAAAAATCTCGACAAATTCACGCACATTATAACAATAACTTGGCATCCATCCTCTTTGTAGATTATCAGCTGAGTTGCTGCTTACATCTTTGTTAGAATGCTCGGTTAATTGTTTCCTTTGAACATTATCTTGCTCTCGATGCTGATGACGATAGCCTTTCAAGAAATTGCACTACATAGACTCAATGCACTCTCAATTGTTTAATTAATTATTTGTTTTCTAATTTATTGACTTTTTCTTTTTTCATGTTCATCTCTTCTTATAAAAAATGTTGAGATTGAAAAAAAAATTTTGCCACAAACATATTTCTACTACGAATAACTCCACAAGACACGCAACATTTACATATCATTTGTCATAACAAACAGCAGCTAATTCCATAACTTGCACACGCATGCTTGCACTTACACTATGAAAATCGGTACACGAACACCATACATTAAACATGTATACAACACACATTCATATCAATACACACGTGTGAGTGTTCCTTTCCTTTCTTGGTCGTCGGTTATATACTCCGGTAATGAGTTTTTCTTATTCTATGACAAATTGCAAAAGAAATTGCTTGTGTAAAGAGCATGCATGCCATTATAAGTAGGCGAGATGGCGTGTTGGACGTTGTTTTAAAAATGTTTTATTTTGTGCATTCAAAAATAAAATATTGAAATATATATATTGAAATATATATATTTTTAAACTTGCGCACTGTTTTGTTGTCACACACGCACAGTTTGAATAGCATAAAAAAGTTATCAGTAGTCGATTAAGTCAAGATCAAAATGAATATTTTGTTGGCCACCAAAAAATATTATTCTTATTCGTTTTGTTTTTTTTATTAATTGCATTGTTTATACATGTGGAAGTCAGATGACCATGTATGTTGTAGATGTGTTTGTAGAAAGTGCTGCAGGAGTACGCGCACTGTGCATGTGCCGTAAACAACGTGCGCTGTGCATGTGCTGTAGAAGAGTTTGTATACACAAGAGGGTGCGAGTCTTGTCACGACTTCAGATCAGAGAGGGAAGATTGATGATGATCTTGGGGCCTGGCACGGTGTCGAGATGTGAAATTGCATAAATGCAGCCATCTAGCTTGTCCTCGCAACGGCCTATAACACCTCAGGGTGCAATCAGACACGCATGGCCTCATATTTTCTTTTTTCTCTCCTTCCTTTTTCTTCTTTTTGGCTTTTTATCGTTTTTTGCAATGTTTGAAATTTTTTATTTTTAGGTCAAGCAAAATAACAAAATACATTTATGAACTTTCTACAAATTTGAAGACTATAAAAGATACTATCACAAGTCTTGTTAAAGCCAAATCATTGTGGAGATATAATAATTTTCGAACCAATTTGTTTTTTTTAATTAATTCGTAAAAAGAAATAAACATTTTTGATGGGTAGTAGTGCAAATGTGTTGCACACATCTAAACAAGCGTTCAAGTGTGCAATGTGGGTAAAGAAAGCAAATATACATGCACGTATTTTAATCAACGACTCTGCCTTTATGTCGTTATAACGACTCGATAAATTATAAAGAATTGACAACAATTGGTCACAGATTGTTCCGAACGCGTGACTTGCCATCTTACCATAAATTAAATTTAACAGCTTTTACACTGTTTAATCAACTACTTTAATTTTCTCGCAACATTTTTATAAAAACATATATTGAAAATGTATAGTTCATTTGTCTCTTGTGCAACGATGGCACTCCATAAAAACATGCTACTTATAAATGTGTGTTGTGTTGTTACATTTAAAATTATTTGTTAACATCTTAGCATTTTAAACATATAGTGAGAAGATGAAAATCAAAATCGTCAACAAAAATATATTGCTTAAAAGCAAAACAGGCGTACGTCAATTGTTCTGTATGCAATCAAATTTGTGTTATCTGCTACAGCAACAGTGTTTGAAATACTTAGATAAAATAAACCATCTAAAATTTAGTTTTTATGTATGCAAATATATAATAGTCCCAACCATATTACACATACATACAAACACGTTTGTGTTGTGTTTATTTATTAATCTACGCTCATCCCAAAACTCACATTCATGATTATTTTGCATTTATAACTTTTAATTTAATGTTCATTATACATAGATACGTTTACATAAAACAACATTTTCAAACTACAGGACTCCAGTGGTCAAACATTATCCACTTGGAACATGATCAACACAAACGAAGAAAAACTTATTATTTACCAGTTTCTAAAATACGAAGCAACAAAATCAATAGCCGAAGAAATGATATCTCAGACCTCAACGTTGAACAGTTACAACGTGTACAACACAATAATGGCATCTATCAAAACTCACGAACTGACTTACGCGCACCTCTTAACCCGCTTTTACCCAGAATTAACAAATGCATGCTTACCAATTAGATATTTAAGAGCAGACAAAATTTGGCCGATTAATCCGTTATATATGAGCCATTTTTTGGCAGCTCAAAAATATCAGCCAATAAAAAAGTATACAAAATCGAGTCAAGATCAAGATAGAAATGATCTTCAAATAACGAAAAATGAATACAAAAGGCATGGATTGGAAAATGTTGATATCCAAAACTGCGATGAAAATCAGTCGGCTACAAATCTAACGTTGAATATAAATTCTCAGAATAGAAACATTGGCGAGGATGCTACCCACCAATACGAGTCGTTTGCCAGCTCATCAGATTTATCAGAACAGAAGCATGACAGCGTGACGTATGAAAAAACGGACAAGACATTATCTTCAGGAAAAAAAAAGTCCAGCACCGAAGGATCTTCATCAGATTCTAATTTTGGTATAAGAGAAGATACAAAATATAAACCTAAAAAATCTGGCCAGGGCGGGTTCGTTCGCCGACCGTGGCAGTCCTCCCTAGGATACGGTGGAGTTCTAATGTCATCTAATGGTAAAAAACGAGTATTGTGTTCGGCCTGTAATAAAACATTTTGCGATAAAGGAGCGTTGAAAATTCATTATAGTGCAGTGCACTTGAAAGAAATGCATCGCTGCACTATAGAGGGATGCAACATGTTGTTTAGCTCTAGACGCAGCAGAAATAGACACAGTGCAAATCCTAACACCAAACTGCACATGGATAACAAAAGAAGAAATCAAACAAACTTATCAACAATTTACCCTAACTTGGCTACAAACACCTGGCATGACAGATCGTCCGGTGGAAAAGCGTCATCTAACGATATTACCAATGAAGCCTACGATAGCGAGCTGGCTGTAAGCGGCGAAGAAACGAGAAAATTAATAACAAATGTTTCTTTTCAAAGATATTTTAACAATTTACCTAAACAAAGTGTTGGAAGCACTGAATTAATGAATGCAGGATGCTCAACTAGCACTCTATTCTCTTTCGGAAGAAACGGAATCAGATCTGATATGGTGACACCATCAAGATCGCCTTCTCAATCACCACCGCGAATTCCAATTGTTAAATGCCATACGAAATTCAGCACGGAGGAGAAGACCAAATCAGAAAACAAATGCTTTTCATACTATGCTATTTCATGCTTGCTAAACCAGAAGAAACACGAAACGAACAAAAACCAGGATGTGCAGCCAAATAAAAAACTAAATGAATTACGTCATGATTTTAACAAAATCAGAAACCCAGAGACCGCTGAAAGGATTTGGCAACACAACACAAAACTATTACAACCTGAACAGTTTGGAATGACTGTTAACGTGGATTCAAATTTGGATTCGAACATGACAAACGAATCTTTTGTTTGTCAGATATCGGGATGCAACGCATCATTCCCATCAAAACGAAGTAGAGACAGGCACAGTTCCAACATACTTCTTCATAGAAAATTGCTTTCAACAACAACTGAAACATTTACCAGGGAAATGGTTTCAGCGAAATGGAACAATCCTTACATGCCAGAAGACGAGACAATAAACGCCAAGCAATCTAAATTGAAACCTGATTTCACTGTAAATTGTTCCGGCGACGACAGCTATCATCAAAATCAAATAAAAATAGATGTAAAAGATGATGAAGGCCGTCAACCGAATTCCAACAAAAGTTTATAAATCGTGAAACATTTTTACTCCATCGTTTATTAAAACAAATTGTAGTTAAAAAGTAGATTAAATTAGATAGAAATGATTTTGGCTATTAAATTAATTCATTATTTTTCAAATGTTCTTCACTAGTTAGCTCATCAATTTTTTTTGACGTTTCTTCGTTATTAGTAAAAGCTATTTTTCTTTTAGGTATCACGGAGTAAAATGCTTCTTTCCAATCATTTCTTTCAGTAAATTTGAGCAAGATCTCGAAAACTAGAACATAAATTTTAAAATAAAAGTATTGTAAAATAAATAAAAGCATTTCAAATGCCACTTTTAGTTTCAATGACTAAGATAACAAAAAATTATCATTGTCACTATAACAAAGTTCACACAAACTATATATATATATATATATATATATATATATATATATATATATATATCCAGAAAATTCTAGTAAGGATAATTGAAAAGACAAACTTTAAATTGATTAATGCCAACAATTCGGTAGAATTCATACAAAGCTGTATAAAATATGGTCTCCTTCCAACACACACACACACACACACACACACACACACACACACACACACACACACACACACACACACACACACACACACACACACACACACACACACACATATATATATATATATAAAGAAAAAAAAACAAACTTAGTTGCATTCATAAATTCAAAAAAAGTAGGATCAATAAATTGCATGGCTAAGTAAGAAGAAAGAAAGGACGTTGTTCAGGTTGATTGTATAAAAGATTAAAAAGGTAACAACTGTTTAGATCCCGAAGAAAGCAAAAGATATGGAGAAAAAATTTGAAAAATTATTAAAAGAGGAAAATGAATGGAATATAAATCGTTAATATAGATGATGCAGAGGTAGAGCTAATAAAAAACATAAAATTAAATAGGAATTGAAAAAAAAACGAAAATTGGCATAGCTCTAGGTCGTTCCAAGGTTGTGGTACAAATTGCGGAAGGCAGGAGGCAAACGTAAAGCAGATAAATTGACAGATCTATTCAACAAAATAATAGAAATGGAGAAACATATTCGGGAAGACATTTTGATAGTTCCCATCCATGAAGAGAAAAGAGATTATTAATAATTTTCTTCACAAGTAGACATGAAAATGATGAAGCGCATTAATGAAGAGGATATTTGAAAGCATTAAAGTTAAACCCTTGATGGCTATAAATATATATATAATATAAAATATGAACTTAAACTAACTTAACATGACTCACAATTTATAGTGCATAAAACTGTGAGTGATGTTGAGTTAGTCTTGAATAAATGACCCCAAATGGAGGTTTTTAACTGCTATTAATATTTACCGTTATGTTTCTAAGTAAAAATTAGTGAGGTATTAATCTTAATCAATCTTACAAATCTTAACACGTCAACAACAACGAACAGTTTTTATTGAAAGAAAAAAGTAAAAAAGTGAAATGAAAATAACCATGATTGACAGCTAGCACATTTCGACTGGCCAACTGCAAAAAATTACCAATGGGCAGTTGTGCATGACTGATGTTTCGTTCAACAGCCAGGTTGTAACACAAACTCTAAGTTCAAAATCAAACAAAGTAATATGAAAATCGATACTACTACTCCAATTTAATGCAGACATATAGCAAGTCAGTCCAACCTTATGATGGTTATGGTCCACGAGACCACCAATAATGTATACTTTCTCAGGCGATAGCTCACTCAACACGTTTGGCGAATCACTGGTCAAATATACTATTTCTTCTTTTTGGAAAGTTTCCAAATAACATTTGTGACCAATGTTGATCTAATCATTAAAATGTATACAAATATATAAATTTCAAGGATATATTCAATTAAAAAGCAAGAACCTATTAAAAATGCAATTGAGGCATTAAAGGCTAATCCCTAATCTGGTTTGATCATTGGTGAAAACCTGATTTATGTACCTGCTCCCTTTTATAGCGCAAACAGGAGCCATTAACACATTCGAAATATGTGAATATATATAACGTATAAAAAATCAAAACCATAAAAAATAATGACGAAAATTCAACTTTGCACCGCAGTTGGAAATAAAAATTATCGACATAGCAAAAATTGCAAAGCTGCATTCTGGGACGTTGTTTCAAGAAATGAGGCAAATAATTATTTAAAAAGAACAAAAATAATTGAAAAAGAAACAAAGTTAATTCAGCATTAATGATTATAAAATTAAAAACAACTAACATCCCAAGATTTATAGGACCCGATCTGATTCAATCTTGATAAAGTTTTTTTTTCAAGACTTGTAATGTAGAACTGAAAATCAATTTATGAAAATTTTTATAAAAAATAAACAATTTTATACAATGAAAATACCTCAAAAGACCTGCAATGGATTGGCAGCCCTCCTGTTCCTTGCATAGCAATACTGCAACTGCTGACTGAACTTCATTACATCCTACAAACAAAAAGGTTAAAGGTCTATCACACCTTTTCAAACTTCAGAAAAATCAACAATACACAAACAGCGAATATGAATATGTGCTAAACGACGCATTACACACTATGCATTTGATATACGGGGAACCTTTTGCCATATTCGAACCTGTTCACTGTGTAACTGGATTAGGCTACTTTAACCACTAGACCATTATGCCGCCCAAACAAACAAGCAACAAACAGGTAAATTCACGATTTGACCTTATTTCAACAAAAATGTAAAACAGAACATAACCTTTTCAGACATATAATCATCAAAAGAGCAATCAATGACAACCCTTATTTTGCATTGGGAATTTTGCATTGAATTCAACTTCAATTGTTTCTTTGATGGCCCTAAAACTTCATTGTTAGCTATTTTTTTAGCCCTTTTTAATTTCTTCTTTTGCCTTTCTTCAAGTCTTTATGAAAATGAATTAAATTAAGATTTTAAACAATCAGATAAAAAATAATTTAATGATAATAAGTTATGTTGACATTCATGTTCGGACGTGGCTTTTTGGCAATTCTAGGCTGCGGAAATGTTTTTCGGATTGCTTTTCGTCAAAAATATGTCAATTAAACTCTATTGCCAACATTGCTAAAGTTTCATCGTCGACCGGAAAGCTAAAGCCAACGGAACGGCTCTAGCTTGTTATCGCTCACAAAGTTTCCTCTCGTAAAGAGTCCTTCCTGCGTGTTGCATGTGAGATACTCTTCTATCAATCTTCTACCTCTACACATTTCTACCTCTATACATTCACCAACAACTACTCAATGAACATTATAGGGAACTTCCGAAGCATTTTTATTGACAGCAGAAATCTAGGACTTCTGCCAACAGTAGCCATGCGCTCCCAAGAGTAGGGCGCTATAAAAATTAAGAGCGCTCCTGACGCTATGCATCATGGATATATATGGATTATATATATCCATGCTATGCATAGGATGCTTTATAAATGAAACATTATTATTATTATCTACAGCTCATCCTGTTTTTTAATATTGAAAGACACGATACGTCAATTACAACTCTGGGGATGCTTTATTCTGAATGGAGAAGTTGATGAGCAAAAGACCGTCGAACATGAAACGAAAGCGATTAGAACTATCGGATTCCATCATGCATCATTTTTTTTATAACTACATCACAAGTGAATATAAAAGAACCATACTAAAGAAAAGGTTGAAAAAGCGGTTTCTGCTAATGACTAAGAAGAAAATTGGGCCAATAGTAAAAAATAGTCGGAAATGTTAGCAAAACACGACCAAATTCGCTACATTTAAAAAAAAAAAAAGAATAAATCTTGAGTGAAATAGAATTAATCGTTTGACATTGACAACAACGTTTGATATGCCTGACTATATTATGTGTAAATGTGCCTATATATGTAATTGTGCTTATGCGTCGTTGTATCTAAGTTAGAGACTTGCTGAGAAATATTTTTATTTCACAGAATGTTTCGATAACAGATTCAAAGGCTGAGAAAAGCAAAAAAGAAATATGCGCTACTTAGGTCGAAATTGCAACATCATTTATTAATATTAGTTATTCTATGACGATCACTATTTTAATATCAGAATCAGAAAAAGCAAAAGATTGTGATGTGAGAGAGAAAGTTATTGACAATAAAAATGGAGCTGCTGAAAAAAAAGGTTTTCAGAAGAACTTTCAATATTTTATTTTTCATTTCACTGTAAAATAATATACAATTTTATTATAGTGTAAGTAAGTAGTAAGGATTTCCCTATTTCACAATTTTGGTTCTGTATTTCTTCCTCATTTGAATCTTGATAATTCCGGATTATTAGCATCACAGTCGTAATTCCAACATACTCTGGGCCTAAGCTATGTTGCACACACTCACCAATATAATAATTAAATAAATATATCAAATGGATAGATTATGCTTAATAATGTAATGCCTCTATATTGATGCAACGTGACATCCCACTACCACTACGATCAAGACTTTATAAATCTGTGATACATCCGATCTTGTCATATGTTGCAGAAACAGGGCCAATGACAACCAAACTGGAACAACAACTTCAACGAACCGACATGAAAATGCTCCGATAGATGCAACGAATTAGTCTGAAGGACCACATCAAATCTACTGAAATCCCGCGTCGTGCTGATTTAAATGATATAAAGGACGAATGCCGGCAACACCGTCTGCGATGGTTTGGTCATGTCAAACGAAGTGGAAACAGTGCCATAACTTTTCTTGCAGATGTTGAAGTATTTGGCACACGTCCCAAAGGCCGTCCAAAGAAGTCCTGATCGCAAACAATTGAGCAAGACAAGAAAGCTCTAAATTTAAATGAAATGGATACAATTGATCGTCTAATTTGGCGCAAAAAATTGATGAGAAAGAAAACAATGCCCTACCACGGGGAACTAAATTTCTTGACGCTAAACAAAGATTGATTGATTGAATGTAATAAGCTTCAAAAATAACACAAACAATATATTTTTTAAACTTAGGTGACAAAAATCCAGCTCAAATCTGACTTTTTCAAAAATTCTCCCTTAATTTCTTTTCAAAATTTTGACATCTTAGTCTCGTTTTTGAAAAAGTTGAAATCTATTAACATTTTTATTTTTAAATAACCTGTTTAATTATTCAACTTTCGAAAGAATCTGGAATCATTATCGTTTTAGATTTTGTATAAAATTACAACATGAACCCCAAAAAATCTAAAAAATTTAGTGTTTTTGCTAAAACTGATAGCTTATGTTTTTAAAAGGTAATAAAACCTAAGTGTAGGAGTCGGATGAAAAATATCTAAATCTGACCCTTCAAAAAATTTTAACTCTGAGTAAAAAATTTTAGCTCCAACTTTGACTCCTGACTCAGAGTTCCGACTCGCAAAAAAAATTTTCAACTTTTGCATTATAATTTCACCTTATTATCACTAGTAAATAGTAAATACTTAGAAAGAAAACATAAAATCAGTTAATATAATTGTTGTTTGAAGTAAAATTACTGTATTATTATGTTTTAAAGCAGACTGAAAAAAAATTTTTCAACTTTTGGATCATAATTTCTCCACTTCATCACTAATAAAAAAAATACTTTAAAAACACTTAAAATTAATCAATATTTTCCTTAGTAAAATTATCACTTTTATGTATCAAAACTAAAAAAAATTATGTGATTTTATTGACATTATTTATTTTCTGAGTCAAAGTCGAATGAAAAAATCTGATTCCGACTCTAGCCCTTCAAAAAATCTTACTCCAACTCTGGGCCCTTAAGAAATTCTGACTCCGGCCAAAATCTCTGACTCCGACTAACACTAATGACCGATTCATGACCCCAACACTGAATAAAACTCATATAGAAGACGTATATTTAGTTTAGTCTTTTTTAGTCTCATAAATTATAAATAGATCTGCAATATAACATTTTTTGTATGAAAAGTTATTAAAAAAAGATTAAATTAAAATTAATTCAAATTTTCCAATAAATTCTAAATTGTCATGCTACCCAATTTATGAATTTAAATTTAAAAACATGTTTTTGCTCATTCTAAGAAAACGCTTTGTTCCCTTACATTACACAGGGAGCAATGTGCCCTGCATATAGTAGTATAACCTGTTTTTAAATTTACTGAGCGAGCGATGTGCCGGACTCCTATTAAAATTAAATATATATGAATACATATGAATATGAAATTTGCAAAAATTCAAACAAACCTTTTCTGTGACTTTATTTTCAGATATTCTTGTCGCTTTTTCATCTTTTTTAACTGCCTCTTGGAAATATTAGCAGTAGAAAATGATAACGAGTCTTGTTTATCATTACGCTCAAAATTGTCATTTGAACTAAACGTCTCCAACCGACCCTGCTCGGACATGCTGCCAACCTATATATCTTATTATTTTTCAAGAAAAAAAGAAGTGTCGTTTATCTTTTTTAAATGTGAACTTTCAAACAGTAATGTGTAGTGATACTTAGATACTTGATAGCTCAATTACTAATTTCAAGTAACTGTACTCACACCAGAGTTCGGTTTTTTATACCAGTCCAACCATGCTTTGGAGGGGGGCCAACTTTTTTGATGATGGGGTCAAATTGTTACTTACGATCTTTTTTGTAGTTTATAACGTTAATTTTTTCTTTTTTTCTTTCAAAAACACTACTTTTTTTGTTTAAACAACGACTTTTACTAACTTCGGACACAAATATAGCGCTAACAACGGGGCCCCCAATATATCCGCCACTGTTCATATATCGAAACATTTAATTTTTTTAAGTAAAATAATTTTAGTTGTGTTTTTAATAATCATCCAGCATTCAGCTCCTCCTTAGTTAATCATTTTCTTTCTTTTCAGATCTTACTAGAAACTTTTTGACTAAAAACTAAGTTTTACTGAATTTTAATAAAATTATTGTTCACAACGGGGGTTCATGGCCGCCTCTAAAACACTGCATGAATCTATTAAAAAAAATACCAGCTTAATTTATTATATCAGCGTCACATTCAAAAAAACCAAGCTGTGCGTGTTCAGTATTACATAATGATAACTAACAATATTTTGTCGACTCAAAATTCTATATATCAAAAACGTCGAGATCTCCATTACCAAATTATACATTTTCATTCTCAGGAGATTGAGTACTACACGAATCTAGTAACAAACTACAGGTTTTCAACCCAAAAAATCAAACTATAGTGTTTTTTCAGTAATACATAATAATAGCTATTTTTTCAATTCATGAGATTATATATCAAAAACAACAAGATTTCAACTACCAAATAATACGTTTTTATGCTCAGGAGATTGAGTACAAAATGAATCCAATAAAAACACTTTTATATCAGCGCCAAATTCCAAAATAACATATCGAACTGATAATATTCAGAAGGCAACAAGAATGATAAAGTTGTGTCTCGGTATGCCTTATGAAGACAGATTACAAGTTTGTGGTTTGACAGCATTAGAAAAAAGAAGAACAAAAGGAGATTTGATTCATGCATAAACAATCATCACTATGAAGGAGAATTTGGAACCAGTAAAATTTTTTGAGCTTAGGGTGAACATAAAACCAGAATTCATAAACATAAGAATTTTTAAAAAAGCTCGCAGGATCGATAAAGCAAAATTTCGTTATATCTTTTACTCCTACGCCTGGTGCCTGCAAAAATTTGTGATTTTTGAAGATAGTTTTCAGATGCACTAATGTTTTGATGGCCTAGCAGTTAAAGGTGCCTAGTCCTGTTGCGCAATGCGGGCCGTGACCAGAATTTAACAGGAAAAAGGGATTCATACCTTGCATATGGTGTGTCGTTTAGCACTCATTCAAATATGCTGTTTGTATGTTGTGGATTCCTCTGAAATTTAGGATGAGTTTATAAAACTTTTAACCATTATGAAGTGTTGATAAAAAATAATTGTAGCGATAAGACTTTAAAGTTCAAAAATAACTGTAGTACTTTTAACAATAATGCAACAAGAAAGATAATGTAACTTCAAGTGATTTTTCGATTAAATATTTGTCAAATATATTTAAAATTTTAAAAATTAGAGACATCATCTAAATTAAATGCAAAGTAACTGTTCAAATAAGGCCTTCCACTTCTCCGTACCTAGGGCCTCCACTATTGTAATTTACCGTGTCTTGGACTGGTCTGGCCATGGATATATTATATCCATGGGCCTGGCCTTGTTTGTACATGTACGTTAATACTTTAAAATGTCTATGTTGTTTTTGTTAGTAGCGATATTAAATGCATCACAGCTCAACTCAATTTGACAACTTCAATAATTATTTAGTTAGTGAACGTTTACTTGCCCGGTGAACGCGTGTGTCATGGAGAGGTGTGCATACCAAAACGCTGAATTAGAGCTGCCTGAAGAATTAATAGAAAACGTAAATATCTTGTTGCGTTGATGTGTATATGTATACTTATACTATAATTAATAAATATATTTTAAAATTTAAAATAATAATATTTAATAAATATACATTATATTATACAAATATTTTTTGGAAATGAAATAAAACTACGCTACGTATATTTATTTAGCATTTAGCTATTTTAAATTTTAAAATTAAACATTTAAATTAATTAAAATATGATTGTTGATTAAAAGTTAAAACATTTAAAATTTTAATTTAATTAAATTTAAATAATTAATTAATTTAATATTAATATTAAATTAAACAATATATAGTTAATTATTTAAATTTAATCTTTAATGAAAATATAGTAAAAACTAATTTTTAAAAAGAATCACAAAAAATTGTGATTTGTAATCACATTTTTTTATGATTCTTTCATTTCATCTTAAGACAAACCAAGCCTAAACAAAACATTAAGAATATAAATAAACAAGTAAATTAAGTAAGTTTAATTTTAATGATATTAAAATTAATAACTGATGACTTGAAATGAAATATCTATTACAATTACATGCCATAATGAATATATATATATTATATATTGATGAAAATCACAGCATGTTCGGCATTAGTTAACTTCCAACTTAACTTTTCAATTTTTCTAATGGTTGATTGTAAATCATTTTCAAGTTCAAAACCAAAATTTTTGTTTGTTTTATGCATGATAGAACAGAAAAGCTTTTTTCAGTATTCCTATACCATCTTCGGTGTTCAAATTGATATGTTGTGGTTGTGCCCAGATGATTAAATATTTGTATACTGTGCCTATTTATTGGTTCCTTGTTTATTCAAAGTGAATATTTGGTTTTACAGTCTTTCAACATCATAAAATATAACACTTTTACGTGTTCTCATTAGGGATGATTCCTCTGTTTCTAAATTTATTGGTCAGAAGAATTCCAATTGCCCCTTGTTGAATATTTATTATTGGATGTCTTTGTTCTATGAATATTAGTTCGGCTAGTCGTAAATTATAATCGTTGTTATTGTAATGTAAGATTTCAACATTGTGATCCAAGATTTGTCTAATAATTTTAGCTTTGTTTCTCTTTCATGTGATTCTTTATAGTGCAAGTTTGTATGTGCATCGTGAGTCTTCTTGATAACTTAGTCATCGTCATACCAATATATTCAGAATTATGGTGCCCACACTCACCAATATTACATTTGAACAAATATATTCTGGCTATGATCCATTATCAATTCTGGTTTACTAGTGCAGTTGTTTTTCATCACAAGAGATGACGTTCTTTGGTTGGAGTAGTATACTCATAGTTTAATACTATCACTCTCATTGATTACTTGGACATTATTTTTTATGATTTTTTTCATAATTTTTTTGTCATGTTCGAAAGCGGTTGACATATGATTCTTATATTATATTACTATGCTATTTTGTTACTATTGTTGATTGCATTGTTGTTGTTGCTACTTTTTTGTTCTTTGCGTTTTATTATTTTCTGGATCATGGAATTTTTATATCCATTATTAATAACAACTTGATATGTAGTTAGAATGTAGATAGAATCACTAAACTACTTATTAATAATGGATATAAAAATTCCATGATCCAGAAAATAATAGAATAATAAAATTTAAAAGCAGAGGAGTCATCCATAATGAAAACACATAAAAGTGTTATATTTATGGATAATGAAAACACATAAAAGTGCTTATTTATTGATAATGAAATCACGTAAAAGTATCATATATATCATTAACAAGATTATTTTGAGTTGAAGTATTATTACAGCTTAATATTCTTCAAGACCATTGTCTTGCATTTTTACAGTTTGAAATATTCAAAGGTGTGGCTTGTAAAGAAACGTGGGAGAACTGTCTATCGAATGACGAAAGATCTAGATTGATGGTTTGTTTGGACTTAGCTATTCTATAATGATAGGGATTATTCCTTCTTCTTAAGAATGCTTTTTATTGTGAACCGTTTATGATGAATATTTTTAACTTTAAGTCATTGTTGCCTGCATCACTGTTTGAAGACGGATCTAATGAGGCAGTCAAAACAATAAAGTAAATAAAAATTATGTTACAACTTTTTTGTAAACTGCAAAGTAATTTATTCTTTATTGTGTTAAGCATGCTCTTCTCATATGAAAACTTCTTTTTTGGGAATCCTCTTGAGAAATTCCACACAAAACTAAAAAGTAAGTTCCTTTTTCATTGTTAATTTTTTTGTAGTGTCTCCAAGTTTACAATTAATATATCCACTGAAACAGACGGGTCCTTTCAGCCAGACATCAGCAAGTTCATGTCCTTGTGTCAACTGGCTAGCCAAAAAGAATACAGATTGAATATCGAGCTCTATTATGAAAAGTTACTGAGGCAGATTTTGATTAATCGACAGGTGATCTGATGGATGATGGCGACCTGCGCATTTCTATGTCTATTTACATGTTGATGTTTAGATAGAACATTCTCTCTTCTGCAATATTTAGGTGTTTCAATGACACAGTGCTCGTGAATACGCCTGAAACCAGGCATCACACGCATTGAATATGATAGGCGGGAATCTTCTTTCGCATTTGAACCCAGCTACTTACTGCAAGCAGGATTACCTGCCTTTGACCACTTCTCCATCGCGTTGGATATTTTGCATAGATGAGATAATTTTGCGTTTTGGTTGGCCAATTAGCTCATGTGGTAGAAGCACAATGTCTTGTATTCAATCTGTCTTGTATACCAAGGAACTTGGTATGCCTGTATATTACAATGCAGTGCTTGCTGATGCGTTCTATTGAGTATACTAGGTGTAGCACAACCTCTGTCTGTGGCACAAAACTTTAATTAGAACAAAGTAAATAAGGGTTCGTGAAAAAAGAGTCCTAGAAATGATGACGTATATGGCACGATTCTGATGGTTTGAGAGAAAAAAGAAATGTCTCAAAGTTATCAACTGACTTTATTAATTGCCTTTGTACAGACGTTCAATGACAACAAAAAACTGTATGTGCATGTTTTATCTGAAGCTTCAAAGTCAATATATATGTAACCGCTTTGAAAAATTTTGTTGAATAAATCGAAATTCCAAGTTTAGCTATGAAATGGTTACAACTGCTGTAAGAGCAGTTACGGGACTGGCACGTTGATCCTGACTGCCGAACAGATAGTTTCATAGTTTATAGTTTCATAGTCATATCTTTAGGCAGTGTGGACGCGACATTGCTGATTATGATTGTCAATGTTTTAAATATAATTTTAATCATCATCTTACTTTTCACATTATGTTTCACCAAAATCTTTCTTTCTTTCTAGCAAATTCTCGATGAAGCTCACTATGGGTCGAGAGCTGGTGCCAAACAAAAGTCCGATCACTTGTACAGCGCCTGTGACCGAAACAGATGCAATGAGAGGAGTATCAAATTCAGAGTTAATAAATTATGCCGAGAGTCAGTTTGTTTTGGAATTTTAACTATTAAATTTTTCTTAAATGTTGACACATAATCCTAATTATAGAATGAGGTATATTCATGCTGATAATATCAATACTTTTTATGTCTAATTAATTAATTTCTTGCTTTAAATTGTTTCGACGATTAATATACAACTTTAAATAGTTTGCAAAATGTAATCAGTTATTCATAGTTACCCTTATTTTGTTTTTAGATCTGATAGTTTTGTTATAAAAGCTTAAGCTACATACATCTTAATTACGTGTCCGTATGCAGGCATCTAAATGAAATAAGAGAAAAGCTAGGAGAAAGGAGTGAATGCTATTCTTCAGATGATGACGATGACGATGAAAATGCTGATGATTATGAATATGACAGTGATGTTTGCAAAACGGATGACTCAGATAATGAACATTTCTCCACTTCCGGTAACAATTTTTTAAATTTGATTACATAAATTTATTTTCATTATAGTTTGGTCTACGTTCTGAAGGATATTAACAAATTTTGATGAACATCGGCCAGAAATTCGTGGTTCTATAATTTTTTGCTAACATTCTTCCTCCTAATTCCATCTGATGTCACGTTTTTAAACATTGCATTTCAAGCCACTGAGTTGCACTACTCATTTTTCTCTTTGTCTTTTCAGTAATTTTGATTTGCAGGATAGATTACAAAAGGTCAAGCAATGATTAGTTATTTTCTAAAACAAAAAAGATCGCAATTATTTACATGAAATTACGTGTCTTATTTTTATTTATTTTTTAATATTTTGTTATAATATAATAATAAACTTAGTTTTCAATTCAACCAACCATCGTAGAATGTAAAGCGAAGAGGAGTGACTGGAGAGTTACTGAGGAGCACTTGCAGTCCATGGTGCGAAAGCATAGGAGACGGAAATTGGAAATGCCCGTTAGTTCGCCAGCTTCCTCTCGTTGCTATTTCTTTATTAAATTTTATTCACTTTTAAAATTAGATTATTGTTATCCATAAATATATGGAACTATAATTATGCTAAATTTTTTTTATTAGAATTAATTATTTGATGTGAAAGTGTGAATGGTTAATTATCGGTCTAACATTATATGGTAATATGATTAAACAAAATTTGTTTATTAGAATTAGTTATACATTTACATTCAATATGTAGATAGTTTCTCTGCTATTATATTTATGTAGGGCCATATTTATTTCGATTATTCGTTATGAATTGTTATTATTATTTACCTTTTATTTTACTGTTCATTACGATTTAACTTGCGTCTTTGGTTTTTATGTTTTTTTTCCATCATATGGTTTGACAATTCTTGTCTAGTTAGTATTTTTTCTCTTTCATGTTCTATTTTTTTTTTTTTTTTTCATTAGTATTTATGATTATTTAAATATTTTTTTTATTATTTGTATATTTATTTATTTTATTAAATTGGGTCATCATTATTTGATTAAATTACCTGGATGTGAGCATATGGTCCTGGCCTGAACTCACGATTTTTTCATTTTTGAATAATAATAACATCTCATTGTGATATATTTCCAAGATAGGAAATATGAAATGATTTCTTGCGTTAATAATTTAACGATTCAGTGTCATTTCTGCTTAAACAGAACCTTGATGAACTTGACACAACAGGAATCACTCTGGATGACATCATTTCAAAAACTGAACTCTCGTGCAACTATGATTTTCCAGGTTAGAATTAATTCTTGTCATATATCTATGATTAATTTGTGAATATATTTTCTTATTTAAAATGTTTGTTATTCTTCAAAACAAACAGATCTGAAGCCCAAGAAAGCCAAGAAACCGTTAAAAATGAAAGGATTACATCACGGCCATCCACTGGATACTACCGACAAGACTGTTGTCGAAAATGAGCATGACGGCAACAAAGTTACATATTTCAGCAGCCACAACGACGCTGGCAACAATGAGGATTTGAACATGCACATCGATGACAACAGCCACCTCAACCAATACAACCTCAAAACTACTTTTCCATTTCTCAATATCATTGATAGGTTATCACAAGCGTGTGTTTATAGTTGAGTCCTAGTTTAATTAAACGGCATAGAAATAAAATTAATTTAACGAAAAAATGTATAATTAAAAAAGGAATTAGATTTGATAATTCAATTTGAAATAAGCCAATTAATTAATCAATTAGTCATTCAATCAATTGCTCAATGAAGTGAGAGATACATGTTAGAATAAAAAGTAAAACAAAAACTGCGAAAATTATGACAAAAATGAAGGGGTTGAGAATTCAGGTAAGATGTCAATAGGAGGAATGGTAATAAAGTGTTAGACCTATTAGCATAGTGGTTCAAATTAAGAAGGATGTAATCTTTATTTAATACGGAATCGCGTAACTCCAAGTGATGATAGGGAAAGGAGAACGATAAATGAAGAATAATATTAAAATAAGATGTAGGAAAGGAAGTATAGTCGTAAGAGTCATCAGCATGTAGTTAACTGTGGTAAAAGAAAACTTATAATTTTTTACACTTCCGTATATTTAAATTATTTGATATACATTAATACTTTTTTTTTATTTCATTCAATTCTTTCAGACCAAAGCCTGTATCACATTCAAACTTTTTTTCTCTTCTGAAAGAACTGATGTGTTCCGAATTCGAACGGGTTTCAAACTTGGAAAAGGTAAAACTTGGAAAAACATGTGCATTGTATTTTTTTAAATAGAATCTTCAATTAGAGGCTTAGTTTGGAAGGGTAAGATTTAATCAATCAATCAATCTTCGTTTTGCGTCCAGAGACCCGGTTTCCCGAGGTAGGACGTTGTTTTCTTTGCCATCAACTTTTACAAGATGAATACATTTATTTTTGGATTTTTTATATTTTTGTGATAGTCACAGTTTTGTTTATGTAAAGGAACTTACAGATAGGTTAGAAATAGGTTTCCGCCTTCGTTGCTGTATTTTTTTGTGCCAGAGTTATGTATTTTTATATAGCGTGATAAGTTCTACAGTTTGACTATGTCGATGGTTAATCGTTGTATACTTGCAGAGTAATTATTTTAGTATTTCAAGAATAAACAAATCAAATGATTACTTTTTTCCGCAATTTTTTGTTACCACTCAGCTCGAGGCACTGGTGAGAGAGTGGCAGATGAATGAACCGGACACAACGAACAACGCATGGAAACTGGAGTATAATGATTGGGTGGAGTTGGTGCTTCCTGCCCTCAAGTTTCTCTCAAATCAATCAATTGGTCTCATTGTTTGTGTGTATTGCATCAATTTGTTTCACTCGTCATTGGTATTGCGACTCATCAATTCTGAGCTTAAAAAATTGTCAGATTGTCAAGGACAAAATTAAGCCACTGAAAAATGAAAGATTAAATTTGTTGGCATGTGAAAGAAAATCTGACTAACACTTACCTGGGTTGTACTATTTGCTTGCATAAATAAGCCGGCGAACTACGTACTTTACATCATCATCGTCATCATCATCCAATCAAAGCGGTTCTCGTTGTTGTCAGTTTGAACAATGCTAACAGTTTGAAGATCCTTCTTTTCATCATCACTATCGTCATCATCATCATCATCATCATCATTGCCATCACCATCATCATCTTCATCATCGTCATCACCATCATCATGGTCATCATCACCAGTCATCATCACCATCGTCATATTGGTTAACATGTTCACAGGCACGAGTTCATCTTATGAAGCATTCAATCCGTTCGTAGCCTTCGACGAGAGTAGTCAATCGTGGAGGTGGGTCAGCGAGGAAATGTTCGACAACGACGATCAGTTATCAGTAAGAGTGTTCATCGCTGTTGTTCCTTTCTTTTTCATGTAGATATGCTGTTGTTATGCAGCCTTTTTAATAATGATAATAATAATAAATTATTGTAATGAATTTTGAAAATAAAATATTGAAATAAATTGAATTTTGAAAACCACAAAGTAGAGATGCATCGAATATTCGGTCTGAAATTAATATTTGGCTAATTCTGTAATTGAAAGGCCAAAATAGCCGAACACACTATCACGCCACACATTGCTAAAATATTTTACTTTAGAGTGCTCCAAATATTGGTTTTTAAAATGGCCGAATAGTCGAACGTCAGTTAAAATATTTGTTAAGCGCTTTTTACTACGCTCACAGTGGTAAGAAGGGCTGAGAAGACGAGTGGTAGCATTCTGTAGCAACTGACTTTCGCAATCATTGGTAAAATACAATTTCAGTCAGTTATACCGAATGAAACTTTCACCGGTTGGGGTGTAAGATGTTTACTTAACTTTTGAAAACTTGTGAATGCTATTTATAATTGCCGCAAAAAGTTGATGGCAAAGAAAACAACGTCTTTCCTCGTGAAACTGGGTCTCTGGACGCTAAACGAAGATTGATTGATTATATATATATATGCAGTTATTGATAAAAATCACAACATGTTCCGCGTCAGTTAGTTTTCTGTTTAATTTTTTGATTTTTCTACCTGTAGATCGTGAATCAAAACCAAAATTGTTTGTTTTAACTTGACTTACAATTTACCGTTAGAAAAATCGAAAATTTAAACAGGAAGCTATGCCGTGATTGTCATCAATGATTGCATTTCTGACAATGTTAATCCAATATATATTAATATATATATATTGGCGTAAATGTTGGAAGGAGACCATATTTTATACACGATGAATTTGGATAATTCTATTTTCAATAAATTGAACATTTTCCAGAAAATTTTGTAAGGAAAATTGAAAAGATAAACTTTAAACAGATTAATGCCAACATTTCGGTAGAATTCATACTTGGTATATATGTGTATATATAAGTGTATATATAATATGTATATAGTAATCTTTATAAATCTCTGTGGTTACCAGTGTTCAGGAGCGTTGAAATTTTTAACGTTATCCGACTTAAGTTTTCACGTACATTTAATGTCTGTTGTGTTGATAGGTGTTGTATTATCATTGGATGGAAGAAAGAAATAGTTTGCAGTTGGACAGTTCAATAGCTGAATCGTCTGCCGTTGTCCCTGAAGCAAGATTGTTGGTTATAGTCATTATTATTCCTGTTTGTGTGTGTGTGTGTGTGTGTGTGTGTGTGTGTGTGTGTGTGGTGTGTGTGTATTTATGATTTATAACCTGCATATATCAATAAACAGGGCATCCCAAAAATGTATAGACGTTTTAAAAATTGTCGACTTGGTGTTATCATATTAATTAAAAATCGTAAAAATATTTTTCAGTATTTTTTTAAATTTTTTTCTGTACCTAAATTAACGTCCATTTTTAAAGTCGCACAGATTACATCGTGCAAGTGAGCACATTCGAGGAACGTGAAACATTCAGAGAACAGGTGGGTGTAGTATTTTTTATATAGCGTGTTGACATCTCATTTACCGGTTCACTCAAATGGCCTACATTTCTGATTGTGATTGCAGGAGCGCCAAAGATTTAACAATCCACATCGTTCGTTCACTTACCGTCAACATGGTTACGAATCGACAGTCGGTCCTGTCAAAGGAGTGTATTCAAGAGAGAGCAACATGATGAAAGCCAGAGGACACGCCTTGCTCGTCAGGGACAGACCCGCTTGTGTCAATATTTTGACGCTAGGTTGGTTGTCCAGTTGCATCCTATTTTTATTATAAATAGTTTTAAAATGTTTGGTAGGCTAGTTTGAAGAAATCTATTTTGGTTAATCTATTTTGATTAATTATCACCTTTCAAGAAAGTCGGAAATTTTGAAGATCACAATTAAAAAGATGCAAAAACAATAGTGAATGTTGCTTGTGAAAACGTTTATGTTTAAGAACTTCAGTTTTTCACAAGAGAATTTCAGTTTAACACATTCCGGTTTCTGTTTAATAACCTAATAAACACTCTAGGATACTTATGATGAACATGTACTGTTTAAAATATTCAGTTCACGACAGTGCTGCTCGTCTGCCAAATGGACAGGGAACCAGAGCAGATATTTGCACCCTTCTGAAAGATTCACAGTATCTTGCTGATGACATAGCTGAGGCGCAGGTTATTTTAATGACGACCGTCACCATCATGGTGCAATGGTGGTGGTTGTCTTTATTAAAAGCAACATTTTATAGAAAGTATAACCTGCATACATCATTGAATCAATCATTTAAATTTGTCTAGTTTGATTACACTTAATCAGTTGCACACTGTTGTCAGTGGAGCTTTGGACCGGCTGCATTATGAGAAGGACCCATGCGTAAAATATGATGGCGCCCAGAAAGTCTGGATACACAGGCATCGCAACAGGACTGAGGAAGAATTTGGTGAGATACGTTGGTTAAACATCTGCAATCTGATTGATGTGCACAATTTGACTTCAAATTAACAGTTGTTATTGTTATTCCGTTTTTCTGGAAGGGCAGATCATCTGAAGTTTCGTTTCTATTATTTCTACTGTTATGCATTTCTATAGGCAATATGGGCAATATTATTATTATAGGCAATGTAAAAGCAATTTTCTTTATGAGCTTAAATAGAATTATTTCTAAGTAGAGTTTTTCTTGTAGTTTTAAAAGTTTTATTATTATCGCCTTCACTCTAAATAATACTCGTTAAAGTTAAGATGTTTTTATTAAAACTGCCGTCATACAGAACGAATCCACCAAATGCAACGAGCCGCCATTAGAGCCAAAAAATTAGCATCAACGATGAAATCAAACATGAGGAAGATACAGCAGCAACAAATAAAACTACAACAGCAACAAAATCAAGTTCAGTCAAACGTTGATTCAACAGTTAAAGGTTGTCCTCAAAATGTGCCACATGCTCACAAGAAACAAAAGCAATCAAAATTATGCGCCAAACTGAGTGAATCTGCCGAATCTTCATCGGCCATCGTCAATGCAAATGATTCCGTTAATTTAAACAAACAGCTGTTGAATTATCAAGAGGTGCCACAGAAGCAATCAAAGATTCAAGCGATATTGCAGCTGCCAGGTATATGCTTGGGTATTCTTGATTATTTTATTAATTATTATTAAGCTGCTTCGACTCGCTTGCATTCCTTTCAGTGGCTAATATTTATAAATTACGGAAAGAGTATCGTTTGTGCTCTGTTGAACGTTGCACGGTGTGATGTATATTATTACGTCAACAGTTAACAAGTGATCAGTTTTCAGTATCATGTTATTATTGTAGTAAAACATCGACTGTCATATGCTGCGTATGTATCGTAGCAAACATATTTTAAGGAGACTAGAGTAGTTGTTGGAATTATGTTAAATATGAAAATGATTTAATTTTATGTTTATAATGCTGCATCGTTCCATGCACAATATTCTTGGATTTACTGTCTTCGAAGCTTTCACATTGAAATGTTTTTACATAGTGAAATGTGCTGCTACATTGCAGATAATACTTTGCCCGACGTAGCATTCACTGAGAGGAAACATCTACTACAGCAGACATCACGTCTCCAGGTTAGTTGCATTCATATGTTCTTTACCTTCTTATCATGCAAATCAATAGTTATTTATTTATTTTATTATCAGTTACATTTTTATATATATAGTTAATGTACATTTTTATTAATATAAATAGTATATAGGCATTCAAGAAATACGTCTCTATGGTTATAGCTATATGTATATGTTTATATTTTTCATCTATATATTTTTGTACTTAAAGAAAATCACCAACCTAACTTATCACTGTTTGAGGATGGTTAAGTTTTCGTCTTCTGCATTAGTGACCGAGTTCAAATGCTAACACGCCTATCCATTGCACGTATAATGTGATGTTTATGCACACGCACACATGGGCACGCTACCTTTCTGGAAAACTTATTGCAAACGCCTCTGAACGCTAACCACGGAGCGCTGTATAAGTAGAACATCATTATTTGTTAATTTTTATCTCTTATTTAGGCCCAACAACTGTTGGCTAATAGAAAACCGTCCACCTCTGGGATTCCCAATTTGAACGTTCAACAACATGACTCAACTATGGAACTGGTTAAAGCATCATCATTGATGAGCGATTTTCAGCTTGCTAATCAGCAGAAACAAGCATCGGGGTTAAATGTCTGCGCCGCAACATCAGTAACTCTGCAACACATCTCCAGGCCACAAATTTCCAACTCTTCCAAGCAGCTCTTTTCACAGCACAATCTAATATTAATGTCACAAAAAAAGCAGGACAAGCAGTACAGCACTATTACAACTTCGGTAAATTAATTTAATAAAAATTTTGTAATGAAAATTTCGAAAATGATAAATTTAATTTCCGTAGGCGACCGAGCGGGTCAATCCATCATCTCCCTGGAACAACGAATATGTTGCAAAGTTATTGAAAAGTAACAAGTTTAATACTACTACAACACTCCAGCAACAAGTAGCAACGTCATCAGCAGCCTTGTTAACATCTTCAGTAGTTAATTTGCTAAGCAATGTTCAAAACATTAACAGCCCCAGTGTTAAGAGAAATGTATTGAATTTGAACGCTATCAGGTTGTTGTCATTACCTCCTAGACTTGTTAACGTCGACCAGTCAAAACTATTGAAAGCAGATCAATCCATGGTCTTGCGAAGTACGTCAAATAATGTTCCTATAGTTCAGTCCAATATTTCATCCACTAACATGCTGATGGTATCGCACAATATTACAAATACTTCTCAGCTTATGACATCTAGATTACCAACTTTAGATAATGCACAACTTCCAGTGCTGAACGTAAAGCCGTCATCATCATTAAATTCACTCATGGCATCATTGGCACCAGTAACCATGAAGCAAGTACAACAGCAAAAACAAATTGGTCAAATGCAAACACTTAGACCACAAATACTCTCAACAAACGTTCAGCCACAGCAGCAAGCACAACAAATACGGACGCTTTTTCTCTCTCCTCAACAACAGCAACAGTTGAAACAATTGCAACAACTAAGGTCACCTGCATCACAACCGTTAGCAGCACAACAAGCGACATCGCCAGCTCACCTGCCAATCACATTGCAAGGGTTTCTACAATTGATTAACCAGAATCAGATCAATATCAACAACCATGCAGCTTCTGTGCCAACAACTAAAAGATAGACATTTTTATTCTAACGCATTTTTATGAGAAGTTTTTCATGCATTTCAACGTAAAAGTGTTTTTTGTAACAACAAGAAGCTCAACAAAATAATAATTTCAACTTGTTTCTTATATTTGTTTTCTGTTTTTTATATATTTGGTTTTTAGTACTTTTGGCTTGAATAATTAATGAATAATAGAAAAGTCGCAACAAAATTTCAGTCACCCCATCGTTGATGTTGAAATTCACGCATCATTTTAAGGTTTCCAAAGGTTTCGACTTCTTTGCGCGTGTATCTCATATTGGTAATCTCTTCCCACTAATCACAAAAGAATGAGCCCCTTTTATCTTTAGCCGACCGACCGCCGTTATTATTTTCTCCATTTCTGTATTTGACTTTTGGCTATTAAATGCATAAATCAATCATTAAACGCTAACAGTGTTTGGAAGACATTGGTAAATTACAAAATGCACTTAGTGTCTTAAAGAAATTAACATAAATAATTAACAATTAAAGTCGAATTCAGATAAATGTAATATACTTACATTACATAAGCAATCAACTTTAAGTTATAATTATAAAGTTGAAAACAAACTAATTGGTCACGTGAAATGTACAGGGTATCATAGTATAAGTAAATTTTCGACTGAACTTCGAAGTACACACAAGTCATTAAAACCTACGGTGTGCTTGACAAATGGATCAAGACATTTTTGCAACGCGGTACAAGGTCAGGTGAAATAGGAAAGGTTTGGTTAGAAAAGAACAAAGCTAGTAAAAAATTGCCAAAATCTTATAAAGAGAGAATGAAGTTTTTAAATTTGATGACATCAAAATATTGCAGATACAGAGGTGGTAAGATTGATGTATATAAAATACTATATAATAACTCTCCGACCTCGAACCAGTATTTTTTCTGTCTACTATATACATATATTATATTGTTAGTTAATAGTTAGTAATTTCAACTATAAGTAGCCTATAATAACTTTCATTGTAATTCGATTGGCCGGTCAATAATTACACTTTCCAGAACATCATTCAGGTTCATTTCAATCGGAAGACCAACATTAATTTGTTTTTGTTGCTTTTGATGGCTTTGTTGTTGCTGTTTTTGTTGCTGAGCTTGTTATTTGTTTTTACGTTGTTGTTGTTGAGAAGTTCAGTAAATCAATAACTCGATCAAAAAAACTCTTGGGAAAAAAATTAATTCTTATTATAATTGCCATCCATTTGTATAACTTAAGACATGGAATATTATGAGTTTAAACAAAAATGTTTAAATTTCATGGGATTTATGACCGCATTCAATGCCAGATTCGTTTCAGTTTATTTTAAGTTAAGTCAATTCACAGTAAAGCATACTAGAATTACTATTTGTACAATAACTACTACCACCATTACTAACATTAATAATAATAAAATTATTATTACTATTACCACTACTATCACTATTATTACTAGTACTACTACACAGCTCTTGCCAAAGCCACTACTTCTACAAGTAATACTACTACTTCTAAGTGCACGTGTATGAATGTGTGTCCAACCTAGCCTGACGATATTGTTGATTTTATACAAAGTTGATTTGCGCTGGCGCATAAATTTTAAATCACTAGCTCCCGGAGAAATAAATTCACGATAGTTCTACTCCACAAAGGTCTATACTATACTATAGATTCTATAGGTTATACATTATTCTTGAAAATGTAATAATAATTGATGATCGTCCTTTAAATGTGAGACTATCCATGCAAAACAACAGTTTGTTGAAATATTAAATTTTCTTGTCATGAAGCTTGGTATTTCAGTTGAGTTTTTATTTATCTAAAACATGATATTTTTACATTACATGAATAAGCGACTTTCAGTACAACACTAACCAGAATTGTGCTAAGAAAATTTAGTACAAGGGCCACTTGGCCCAAAATTGATAAGTCGAACGGTAACTATAACTTCAACTGTAACTTAAATAAGCATCAAAACTGTAACTTTAACTTGACCTAAGAACTAACTGAGTAACTAACTTTAACTATAACTGAGGTCAAATTAAATGACTAGAACACTGTTTCAAACATATTTAAAAATTAATTGGGTAATTTTTGCGTTAACCAACTATATGGAAGATACCGCTGGTATTATTAGTAATGTACCTATTAAATATGGTTGTTATAGATAGATGCATGATGTCCACCCCGCATTTATTAATCTCTTCTAATTCTAATAAAACCAGTTTAGCATATCATCTTATTATTTCTGCATATAGAATTTTCCATGAATTTCTTATTAGGCGGAATGAAATTACACGTTGGTATCTAAAATTGAAGAATTACCAATATGAAACAACAAGATCGAACCACTGCTTGTCATCGAAATTCGTAAATAAAACGGATCAAGTTAACAAGCTATGCAAATGTAAATTTCTATTATTTACAACAATATAAAAAAGTTAAATTTTACAAATGTTGAGATTTTTTTGAGAATTTCAAAATTCTATTTTTCAAATTTACTAAGTGTTAACGTAAAAATGTTTGCTAAGAACAAAATACATTTAAACTCAGGTACATTTAACTAAACAAAGGTTCAGCAAAATAAGTTTCCGTGGGATGGGTTCTTGTAAAGAAATGATCAAAAATGATCAAAATGGATTTGTCATTGCTGATTGAAAATCAAACAGGTATAAGGAATTGAAAGTTTACATCCAATCCAGTTGCTCAGAAGTTTTAACGTATTTTCCGTCAGTTACGGCGTAGAGCTGAGTAAAATAGATATAAAACAAAATTTTTGATAAAAATACAATCACAGTTAAACAATTAAATGTCTAAGAAATTAAAACAATACGTAAAATAATGTTAATTTAATCCACGTAGAGTCGTAAACTATTCAGCAATTTTTTGTTAGATAGTTAACATGATTCGAAAAAAAACCATGAACAATTACATTGATTGAAAAACTGATTGAAATAAAAACGATGAAACGTCTAACAAACACAAATGCTAGTCAAGTTCACTTATAATATCATGAACATCAAATTCAAATAAAATCATATATGTTCTTATGACAAACTTTAAGAGTTGTCATGAAACGATTCAAATATTTTATGTAACAGATTCCATCATTCGACGCTAACATAGTAGCTCAAACCATGTGAAATTACAAAAACTGCATTAAATTGAAACTACAGATCAAAACAACTAATTTATTATTTAAGATATGCAGACCAAATAACATTTAAGACATAAACCTAAAACCATCTCACATTATTCAATGTAATAACACTTTCAATATAAATGCAGCATAATCATGATCTTAAAGGACGATTATCATTGAAAATACAAAAATCATAAGAATGATTAAAACAAATTATGAACGCAGCACAATTTTAACTATAAACTTTTGCCAGAACTTCCAAAATATATTTTTCAATAAAAAACGCTGTGATCTACTGTGTCAGATAAATGTTTACGTTTAGGAAATGTTAAGGGACGCTGATGTAATGAAGAGTAAGGTAAGAGTGCTGGTACTCTGCAAACTCGAAGAAATAAATTTTTAAGCCCAGCATTTCAATTTAAGAAGACTCTGGTATACGAAATTTTCTGTTAGATAGAATTAAAGTCCAAACTGAATTCAATGCCTCCACAATGTCGCATGAGTATTTCAGGTTAGACTAAATTTTTCTCTCTTTGCATATTATAATATAAAAAAATTCTACGCGCAGGTATAAATAAAACGCGCGCGCTCAAACATGCAAACACACATTTGTGCACATTATAATATGCATGTATGTACGAATGAATGTATGTATAATATGTATGAATGAATGAATGTATGTGTGTGTATGCACGTACGTATTCTATGTGCATACATAATATTTGAAATCATGGCAAAACAAGGACAGAACTAAGTTGTGGATCAATAAGTTTCGTCCACATGAACATTTATAATTTCACGCAAAAAAAATAATGAAATGTGCTGTAGATAGCAAGAAAGTCCTCGTGAACACTGATTGATACGAGGAAACATGCGTTTGAGAGTACGAACGTCGTTCAATACAAATTTAGGCTTTTATGAAAAAATAGTTCTACAACCATTCCAACTGCCGAGAAACGCGTTCAATTACATTTTAATGTTTATAGCTGCTCTTATTTGTCCGAATGGTGATATGTCAGTGCATGTATGAATGAAAAAAGTCAGAATGATTAAAGAGTATGCAAAACGTATCAGTATCTTATATACGAAATTACAGAGAACTGTTTGCAATATAAATTTGTAAGATTAATAAGAAGCATGTAAACCATAAACTAGTTGCATGATGAACAATATGGAACATGCATTGCTAAAGATCATCCATCCTTCGTATGACTAGCATCCATACAGAAAAATGTTACAATTTTGAATAATAATTTATGTGCTTTTGATACCATTATTACAATTCTCCCACCAATCACCAGTTCCTCGAAGAGAGTCCAGGTCTGTTTAGCGACATGAAATAGATTTGAGATGATCCAGTTTTATCTGAAGAGAAAAAGACTTTATCATTTCTCTCACAAAGATATTTGAGTTTCTGTTCTTTCTTGTGCATGAAGACTCCATCCAAGTGACCCGTCTCTGCTGACCTGATCTCAATTGCCTTGTTGCCCCAACCCATTATTTGGCCGGTACCTATGTAGGCTGCGAAAAATTAAATGAATGGACAGTTTTGTATGGAGTACAACTGTAATTTTTATAAAAAGTTGGAACGATGAACAACTCAAACTATCTGAACAGCACAACAAAATTTTAAATAATTGCAAAAAAGAAGACTTAAACCGACCAACAGATGTCGGTTCTTCGCCCCACTGCAGGACCATGTTCTTCGTCGGCTTGCCATTCGGGTCTACATACACACCTTCATCTTCAATTGAAACATCAAATTTGAATTTAATACATATCAGAATATCATCAAAAGCCATCGAGCAAAATATATCTTAAAAAGTGTCAAGGCGTTTAAAAATTGAAACATTTTGATAATAAGAATTGATTTATGAACAAGAAGAGACATCTAACTGTTATAGCAGAGTAGCAGCTGTGAACCATTTGAATTAGGCAGAAGAACGATTGCTTGTGGAATCATTGCAACAAAGTTCAACTTGATAAAAATGAACATCAAATTAAAAAATAAGTTACTTTATCACTACGCAAAGAAAAACTGATTTGATATATATCTATCTGAACCAAATAACGGAAAATAATGAAATGTTCATGCACACGGACACGCGCGCGTAAACACACACACCACACACACACACACACACACACACACACACACACACACAGGCAAGCATGTAGATAGATAGGTACGTCAATTACACAGCCAATGAATGAAGCTGGTACAGCAGCTCTGAAAGCAGCCCATTTCAAAACCAGCAAACATAAAAAGTTAAGTAAAAATATGAAAATAACACAAAAACGTTTCTCCCATTATGCAAATTATATTGTACATCGTAACTATACTAATTAACAGATATTTCAAGAAAATAAAACATCAACTGTCTTTTTTAATTAATTACAAACAATCAAACAACTTTAATCACTTGAATAACGAGATTGATTATTTACTAAATCAATTAAGAATGAAGCAGATTATGAACAATTAAGGGCTTAAATTTGTTTGAAACGTAGGTGGTCATAAATTTAATGTACAAAAATATTGGTTGGTTTAAATAAACAGAACATAATTGTGAAACGTATCTCTTCATAGCGAAAAGATCTCACGCTTATTGGAAAAACTAAATGAAAATATCATGCTGAACAGGACATAATACATGTCGATGTTGAGTTAAAACCCTTCCTAGGTGTCAAGAGCAACAATGAAAATTGTAGCAAGTTTGTCACGTTGTAAATTAAAACGAGATTATAAAAGTACAAACAACCAAATCATTGTTTGTAAACATATTTGAAACTTTTTCATTCAGCAAGCAGGGACAACGGTTTTTCATGCATTAAACAGAAAAAACAATAAACAAAATGATAAAAAATTAAATAAAATGAACAAAAACTACCAGAAATTTTGTTTAAGTAATTTCACATGCACTAAAATTCAATCAACAATTGAAAATTAAAGATAAAAAACAAACTAAATTGTAATAGTAAAATAAACATTTGAACATTTGAAGACTTACTTGACTCCGAAACTATTGAAGACAAAAAGGGTTAAATATTTTAAACTTCAAGCAAATTATTTAAATAGATTTTATATTGAAAAATAAAGTTTAACATAGTGAGAAAGTGATGTTACATTTTGTTAGATTAATTTACTAATGCGAAAAGCATCAATTTCGTTTGAAAAGGTTATAGTCAATTGTTTCTATATCTACATGTCAAGGTCAACAAACTTACGTGAGCAGGTATGTAGAGGTCGAACACTGCAGATGTGTCAAGGTCAATCCCGTGAAAGCCTCTGCTGGAGGCATAAAGGATTTTGATCTTCTGTCCATCTTCTACTATAAGATCCACCATGATCGGTCGATCGGGAATGTTGGTAAACATCTAAGTTTTTAGACATCGAATTCACAATTGAAAATAAAATACCGCGTTTAAATTTTTAATACTACCCACTCGAAAACCATTATTGATATTTTGAAAAGTTTTGCATGAATATCACAAACTTTGAAAAGCATGAACTTGCAATAAGGCTTCGGTGCCCATGCATATATCTCGATCCTGTCCTTCAGTCCCATCACCAGAAACCAAATTCGCTCGTAGTGTACTGAACAACAAGGAAATCATTAGAGACTTTCAAACAATTTTATATTACATCTCAATACATAATATATATATATTGATATATATATATATATTTTTTACAATATTCTAGAGACCAAAGAAGATGACCAGCCAATTAAGAAACCTGACACCTAATTCGCATCAAAGTTCAATTTTACAACACCAAAGTTAATTTTTACAACGTCAAAGTTAATCTTGACAAAGTCAATATTTCCCTATATATACAACAAGGAGCACGGACATTCGGAATCGAAATATGGCCTTATTTGCAGCATGAATTCGAAAAATAAGTTTATTTTGAATTTTAATAAACTAAACGTTCAAACGTTCACCAAAAAACTTTAGTGAGAAAAATCGAAAAAACGAACTACAAACATATTAACGCCAAACATTCGGTAGAATTTATAGAATATTGTAAAAATTATGGTCTATTACCATCATATATATATATATATATATATATATATATATATATATATATATATATATTTACATACATATCAAAAATATTATTGTAGTAATTTATGAATAAATGAGTAATCATGGTCTTTACCAGCATTCACCAAAGTATAATATATATATATATATTAGTGCACATTGTGTGTGTATGCGTATGTGTTACTAATATGTGGTTCATGAAAACCACAGCAGTAAATAATTTTCTGAAAGTGAGACTTCAAATACAAACCGATCTTGAAGTGTATACAGTTTTCAATTTCTCCAACTGTCACCCAACCTCCCTGTTTATCATTCTGCAGTTGAACGTTCAAACGTTGAACGTTTTTAAATACAATTTTTGACACTTCAGATGAAAAGACATAAATAAGAACTTTGAAAAAATTTAACTGTTTGTTAACTGTTACCAACAAATGTTTGCAGTTCAACTCTTGAAAGCAGTGAGAATGAGGCAAGAGAAAGAAATTTAAACTAACATCATCACTCCTTAGAATCTTGTTCTTTAAATAGTTCATGTTGTAGATTCTTATCTTATTTTTTTTCCCGGAATTCGTAACCAAAATGCAGCATTTTTCTATCAATTCCATTTGAAAAAATCGTCTCCTATTGATCAGCGGATAAACTGTACAAAAAAGTAGAGTAACAAAGACATCAAAGAGTATTGAATATAAAAACAAAACGATAACAATACATGGAGAAAAAAAAACAAGACGTGTTAATGTGTTTTTAATAATCACAGTCTCTGGTTTAGCGCTGGTTAGTTGCATGTGGTTGCATACACAACGACAAGAACAAAAGTCAGGTTGCACATACAACGACGAAACAACAAAACTTACCTTTTCCAGCACCACTTCTGTCCAACAGCATCAATCCATTCTCCGTGCCCACCAATAAATTCACACCTTAAATTGCAATTTTATGAAAAATGATCAAGACATTAATGCTTAAACACCAACAAAAAATGACAGCATTGGGTAAGATGTGAGTCGAAACGATTAAGTGAAACAATTTTTTTCATAAAATATTTTTAATTAAAAATTTCAAGAATTAAAATTCCAATAGCGTTAACTTAATTACTACCGTAATATTTCAAGAATTGTGAAATTTTATAATTTTAAATTAGCAAGTCGTAAAACGGAAAAATAACTGTCAATTTTTCATATGAAACAGAGAAACATAAAAATTTTTAATGAAAAGTCCAAAATATTTGCAGTTTGTAAAAGGTGAGTGCATTTGAAGGACAAATTCATAAAAACGCAGCTAACCCCACAACGTTGCACACAAAATGGTGGTGTTGAATTTCTTCTTGTATTTCCTGATCTCTGGTGGCTCGCAATCGGTTGGTGCATTGGACGACACATTGACATTGATCCTCGAGTCCCTGCGGTCGATGGCATTGCTCGATGGTGAGTTACTGATGGCCCCACCGTGACCTTCGCCTGGAGTTGTACCAAACCCGAATGGGATGAATGGACTCGACCCAACACCTGCTTTTGGGCCCTCCAAATTCAATGCCCTCATTTGCTGTTGTTGGTTTGAGTATCAATATTGTTGTTCAAAAGAATAATTCCTAAAACCTAGTATTTAGATTCTATGAATAAAAAACGAGAGTTTCATAAGATAGAAAAACGTGGAGAGAGACAGACCTCGTTGTTTTCACGAATCATTCGAGAATCGCGAGGCGGTGATACAACGTCAGGTAGCTGGCTGTTTGGAGGACGACGTGGAGGAGCTTTCTGTTTGATTAGGAGGTCATAATTTTCTATCTTACTGTTAGTTACGTAGTTACATTCATGTATTCGTTTTTTCATCATTTACACTGTAACTTTTCTGAATAACAAAATGTTTGCCGCGTAATTAAAATTTGCAATGAAATAACTGTCAATCAAAAATTAAGAAAAATAAAAAAACAAACTGACGTTTTTGTCTTGTATGGGCTGGCGAGGTGGAACTTGAGGGGCTGGATCAGAAGGAGGATCTGTTGTCGTTAGTTGCATATTCATTTTATGGGTGATATGTTTTTGCCGAAATAACAAAAATAAATGAATAAATAAATAAATGGGATAATTGTAATGCTCATAAAGAAGAGTGTAGGAAGAAGAGAGAGGAATGGAAGATATGGTGACCGTAGAGATCTAGCCAAATTTTATCCTCACGAAAAATGAAAATATTTAATGGAATTGGATTTCCTATGAGCAAACAATGTCATGGAATGCGGGAGGTAGGAAAGTGATGAAAGTTTAGAATCACTGTTAATGAAGGGATAATCTTGCACTTGCCCAAAAAGATAACAAAAATGAACACGACATTCAAGTTCTCTTCAAAGATAATAAAATATGTTGGTTAAATGATGAAATAGTTTGGTTTAGTGGTCATGGTTTCAGGTAGTGGTCTAGTTGGTGATTTGCTGGGTAGAAGGAAGATGACTGGGTGCACAAATGAAAAATTTAATTCGCTATATAAAATAGCCTGCATTAACCCAGAACCACGCCAAATCTGTTACAGCTTGCTTTTGCAAATTTATGACAAAAGTATTTAAATATTAAAAATTAAATAATAAATGGAGATAGTTGAATAATGAAAAAAAACCACCTTTCAAAATCTTTTCAAACTCCTCTTTGTTACGAGGCCTACATGAATTGTTATAATAAATTGAATCAGCAACTAGGTTTTGTTACTGTTATATGAAGATGTGTGCCTAGATTGATTCCTTACAAAATTATAGAAAAAAAAATGAAAAGTGACATAACGAACAACATTAAATAATTATCTCAAGCAGAATTTTGCAGACTTTAACCAAAAAAATTAAGCTTAACCGAGCGTAATTGAAAACACATGCAGTCAGAATGAAAACAAAGCGATATAGGGATAAATGTAAGGAATGTAATGGACTAGCAGAGGTCTTGGATGGCCTGAAACAACGAGGGTACCATCAGGGGCTGCCTCTTCATCTGAATCATCTTCAACCAGGTTGTCCGGGGTGCCTGCTGGATGCTTCATTGGATGGAGTTGCTGGCTCTCCAACTTCTAATTAAAAAAACAATAACCAAGTCTTATATGTTTATTTATTATCTTCTACTTGAACCCTTTTTTCAACACAAACAAAAATAAAAGATTCATTTGGCAAGTTCATTTGCTTCTGAAAAGGTGGATTACATAAAAAAATTCACAAATGATTACATCGTAGTTTTGAAAATTAGAAATTATCGACCGAGAGTTTCAAAATGAATAAACTGTCGACGACCTGTCTGACTTGATCAGATCTTGGGAAGTATGATGGGGGGTGAACATCTGCTCCTGCAACTGGTCATGATAATGACGACGATTATTATTACAATGACGGCCGTAAGTGACCAGATCAAATTTAGCATTTAGCAAACAAACAGACGAACAGACAAACAAGCAGAGAGACAGACATCAACCAACCATTTCGGCGAGGCTGATGAGGTGATTGGTGGTGTGCTTGATGAAACTGAGGAGAGGCTGAGTGGTGTTGTTGCTGATGAGGATGATTGTGGTGATGATTGTTCTGCTGCGGCATGCCACCAGGCCTACCTGGAGAGGCCATCTGTTTGATTGCAATGCAATATTTTTTCAACAGAGGCGAAACAATTCCAATTTTTTGTGATTTTGGTATTATCGACGATTGAATGCATTTGATGATGTTAACATAATATGGCAGCAGTGTACCCAACAATTTTGTGACAATAAACGTTGGTGTTGGATTCAGGCTACAAGATTTTGTTGGTGACGACTGAATTACGTTTTTAATATCGTCTAATGTAACTGTGCTGAAGCTGTTAAACCGAGAGATAACCATTTGATAATCAGGAGCAATGTCATTACCAAACGATATGCTGGATTCCTCTGCTAAATATCGCTGGTAGCCATGGGCTGTTATAGAATCATTAGCCGAATTGGAAGAGTTATTTTTAATGAGAGATGAGTCTCTGGTCTACAGTATCTACCAAATTAGAATTAAACTAATTCTAAATTATAAAAAAAATAAAATCATGTTTTCCTGATTTACCATGCTGGATCCCCACTGAATTATTATTAATAATTTAAAAAAACTAAGTTTCTTTTTTTATTCCGGTAAATAATACTTTTAAGAGCCTATACGGGTGAAAATTCAGGACTAAGAATGAAATATAATTTTTGAAAGTGCTGTATGATAAGGTGCTGTATGATTATTATCTACCTAAATAATGAATAAAAACAAAAGAATAAACATTTCAAAGTCATTTGTATGCAGTCATCCATCGTAATATATTAGATAAACTAAACACTGTCACGTAATATGTTAAATCACTTTCTGTGTATGCCATGATATGTCGTCACCAATTTATTTAAAACTTTTCATAGATATTGAAAGACGACAAGAAATATGGCTTTGGAAACTACTTGTTTTTGAAAATCCAATTAATGCATTTGAATTCAATCCTCTAATAACCCACCTGCATAGCTCCGGACCGATTCTGGGGCATACTTGGCTGGGCTTGTGGCATGTTGATTAAGTTCTGTTGTGGCAGTCTCGACTTTTCATTGTTCTGAATATTCTGAAAAGTTTTCCTCAGTGTTGTATCGCCCTGAGCTGCCATGGAACTATTCCAGGATTAAAACAACTTCATTAAATAATAAATTGAGTGAGCTTTAAATTCAAAGTTATTATTATAGTTTATTTGTGAAAATCGCCATCTATTGATTTTTCACTGCAGTCAAAAACAGAGAAGGATTTTAAAATGAGCAAAATGGTAAATGCCGCAGGTTTCATCAGTCCCTCAGGGGATTGATTGATTGAAGAGGATTATTACGTAACTTCCAAATGCAAAAACATAATTTGGCATGAAGTACACCTACGCTCTAATAATAATAATAATAATAATAATAATAATAATAATAATAATAATAATAAGTGAAATGACAAATGAGACCAACTTGTCATCATATTTCGTGTCCTCCTCCTCTTCTTCCCCGAACATGTACTCACTCGACACATCATCTGCATTGTGTTCAAATCAAAAATCTAAATTACTAAAAACTGACTGCAGTCATTCACGTTTTTAATAACAACAAACAACAACAACACACGTTTAGACGACATTTTCCCCGAGATCGGGGTTGCCGTTTGGCTACCTATGATGAAACTTCTGTCATCATAAGTAATTTATTTGGCTAATTTTTACGCAGGACGCCCTTCCTTATGCAACCACAGTTATAAGCGGTGGGCCTAGCCTTTGATGATCCAACATTGCTCACAAGGCAGTGAGGGTCAGTTTAATGTCATAACCAGGACAAAGTCATTCACGTTCTTTTTTAATGATAATAAAAATTATCATTATTATTATAATTATAATTACTATAATAATTATTACTACAATGATAATAATACTAAATACAAATTTTTTTTTAACAATTATAATAATAAATAATATAAATTTTTTTAAACTTTTTCTAAATTGTTTCTAGCTTTAAAAATTAATTAATCCAGCAAAAAAAATTAATTTTGTATTTGATAAGTGGTTGACATTTTTATTTATTTTTGAAAACAATTGTAACAATTCCAGAGTTGCAGAACACTGAAATAAATGCAACGATGATGAATCATGTTTGTGAAAAATAAGTGGAAATAAAGATAACTAAAAGGTAGCTGCAGAGACAGATAAACAAACCTCTTCTCGTTCTGGCATGTTTGTCGATATGTTCCCTGATTTCTCGAAGTACTTGCTTCTCTGTTGGCAAGTCCTTAACAAATGGATGTTTGATCAGCTGATCAGTTGATGGTCGCTTTGTGTGGTCTTTCATCAAAGATAAGTCTATAAAATTTGTGAAATTTTTTGACCTGTGGACGAAAAAAAACCATCAGTTATTTGTTTCATAATGAAGACATGTTTAAATCAGTATTTAATATTTAGTGGCCTATAACAATATTCAAGTTCATTCGTTATATTTAAAAATATGTGTATCTGGTAAAGATCTGTCAAATGATGCAATCTTTTTGCATATTTAAGACAGGATGTTGGCAAAAGAACAAATCAATAACAAAGCAAATAAAGTTATAAACAATAAACAAACCATTTCTTGGATTTCAGCTTGGGGGCAGGATTACGAGGAATGAGGAAAAGTGCTCGCATTGGATGCATCTCACACAGTGCTACAAGTAGCAATCGATTTTAATCAAATTATATCGGCTATAATAGCTTGAATGATTGTTTTGCAATTTATTTCATTAAAAATATTTTTTTTAAATATTGTACAATTTTTTAAAATGAATTCTGTTCACATACGTGGTTTCCCTTCAGCCATTTCAATGGCAGTAATGCCTAATGACCACAGATCACTCTGAAAAAATGATCGGGCAATCTATGCTAATTTTGATCGACATTAATCTTTTTTATAAACATAATTGAACAACCAATTTAAAGCAATGATAAAAATGAATAAACTAAATGATGTTACAAGAAAACAAAACAATTGAGGTTACTGGTAATTAATACATTCTAGATAAAAATTCAAATGAAAAATAAGCAACATCTGAACGTAACAAACCAGTCTGCAGAAAAATGCAATACAAAAACCAACAGCAACGCAAAATTTTCTAGCAACCTTGAAGTCATAAGTTCTTCTTGGGTCCTCATCACATGCAATTACTTCTGGAGCCATCCTGCAGTCATATTTTAAACGATAAAAAGAATTATTAGTGTCAAGTTGCAGCTAATGCTAATCCGCAAATGTTTCACAATCAAAGTGTTCGCACAGATGTTAATTTTTTATCCGTAGTAAAATGACAGATGAACCTTTGCAACTAAATGTTAATATGTTCAAACATTCAACATAAAACTCAAGTAAAACCGCTAGATTTTCCAATGCATCCACAATTTGCGTTTTCAATGTTATGATGAGAAATTGATGATTGCAATATAAAAGTTATGAAAGGGATGATGACAACAACTTGATAGGACAACAATGTAAAAATGATGATGAAATATTGACACATTGTTGATGCATTAGAACAGGGATGGACAAACTTTTGGCCGTGAGGGCCGCATTGAGAACTATTTGACTTTTGAAGAGCCGAATATGTATTTAAATAGCAATACATACATATGCATTTCACTCGGAGTGAAAATTTTTTGACATGTTTTTTGTTGCTGACGACTTTTTTTTTGGTCGTAATGTTGTTCGAACGTTAGTTTTTTCGATATTTGTCTATGAGAGAGATAAAAAAAAAGTTTTTATGTCGATAATATTTTAAATTTTAACAAAAAATTTGTGAGTTTATTAAAATAATATCTCTAATCAATAACAAAAGAATTATTAAAATAGGATAGACAATTTTAGCGAAACCGTTGGCAGAAATGACGTGCTCTTGGCACCTATTTATACAATACAATAAAATATTTTTTACTATTTGTAGCAAAATCGTTGGCGGAAATGACGTCATTTTAATAGTAAAAAATATTGAAATGTACGATGGTAAATTAGCCGGCATAAACATTACATTCGATTCCTATAAAATAAATTTTACCAAATATTATATACACACAAAACTAAATAAATAAACAGATAGATATGTGTAGTTATTAAATATATTTATATTTTTATATTTATACATTCAAATTATACAATTAAAGTAAAGTAAAGTGTGTGCTGTCAAATTATTTTGAATTCTCTCAGAATAATTTGAACCGCGCGCGTACATACATACATGTACATACATATATAACACTGATTACTGTTGGTTTTATAAGAAAGTTATATCATAAATATATATAAAGTATTTTGAATCCATGTATACAGATAATTACTAAGATTATATGTTTACATAAAAAAAAAATACAGCAGTTCCAACCAGTCAATCAGAACGTTTCGAAGTATGAGTGGCTCTGTTGTCAAGAATGTATATTATTGTATTACATAAAATCACAAATCGATAAACTTTTTACTGATGTGAATGGATGAATTGATAATGGATGGATGAATATATAAAGAAATGAAATAAAAAAAAAACACAAATTTTTATTTTTCGATTGTTATGTGAAAAAGGAGTGATCTCAATTAAATTTGAATTTAACTAGATAAACAAGTACAAATTCTCAAACCATCCCCAGTTCGTTGGCGTTCGTTGAATTCATTTTAGTATAGTTAATATATTGTTGTTAAGCACTTATAATATTGTTTCATATACATTAAACAATGTTTTTTATTGATGTCAATGATTGAAATGATAAGAATATATGAATGGAACTGGTATAAAGAGGATCCGAAAACACGTTGAAATCTGACCTTTGTTATTTATTTGTATATATGTATAGAGTTTGCGCGGTTGGTATAGAGTTATATAGAGTGCGGAGTTATATAGAGTTGCGCGGTTATATAGAGTTGCGCGGTTATATAGAGTTGCGCGGTTATAAAGTTGCGCGGCTATATAGAACTTGCATGTTTGTCTGTGATCTGTGTTTGTATTTCTTGACGTGATAATTAAAACTTTGACCGAAACGTGTAATTCATTCGTGGTTAGCTTCTCGTACGTCTTGTTGATATTGTAATTTCTCGATTTAAAACTTAAAATTTCTTATTTATTCTAGTTATAGCATATTTAATTTCTACCGCAAAACAGTTAATTTGTTAAGTCACTTCTAAAAATATAAAAAATTGTTTAAATTAAATATTTTCAAACTGTTCTACTGTTTTGTTTTCCTGTCCTGTCTTATTAGTGCTTCGTCATCATGGCAAAAAATGTCTCAGCCGAAAGTTTTGAAGTTCTTGTGTCAAAAATTTTGGACAAATCAAACGAAAATTTATTGAAATGTATAGATAAATTATTGAAAAAATCAAATGACAATCTGAAAAAAATTATTGATGTTTCCAATAAAAACCTAGAAAAATTGATTGAAAAGACAGACCAGAATCTAATTCTAGTATTAGAAAAATGTAATGACAACCTGCGCAAAATAGTAGCCCATTCCGAGAGCCTTATGAGCAAGCTGTTTGAAACAACAATAATCAGAATGGAAGCTCTAAGTAATAGCTTCGAAAATGCCGTTAAGAGCATGTCCGATGCCGTGACTGGTAGTATGAAAGAACTTCACTCCGCTATGTCAACACTGGCCACCAGTGTTACTGATTGTCAAAAGCAGGTAACTAAACTTACTGAATCTCCCATGCTTGAGACAGTGACTAGGGCCCTTTGGTCAGTGGAGCAGGAAAAGAAAGATGAAGAACGTCGGTCTAAAAATGTTATCATTTCCGGTCTCGAGTTGCAGCCAGGATGTAACGACAAAGATATGGTTTTATCGTTATGCGAGAACCACCTCACGGTCAAGCCAACAATTGCTAGAACTCGCCGTATCGGAAACCACAGGTTATGTGTCACGTTAGACAATTCATCGGCAGCTGAGGACCTGATTGCCTCATCAAGGATCCTCCGCTCTTCTTCAACAACAAAAGGTATCTTCATCAACCCTGACCTTTCCAAAAGGCAGGCCGAACAAGCCTTCTTGATCAGACAGGAGAGACGTCGCATCAGAACTACCAACAACAACTCTAAAAATGCCCAGCCCTTTCTTTCAGTCCTACAACAATAAACACATTCGTATGGCCTTAGCTAATGTTCGTAGCATTCAAAAGAAGCAAAATGATCTCAATTTATTTTTGTCAGTTTACAGACCAAAAATATTTTCTGTTATAGAAACATGGCTTACTCCAAATGATCCTGACAACTTATTTTTACCTAGCGGTTATTCTTTTGTTCGCAGAGATCGTGCAACACGTGGTGGCGGCGTGGCTTTCATCATCAATGACACTATTCAATACAAGATCGTTTCAATACCATCCCAGTTCTCCCACATAGAAATAGTTTCAATTGATGTTTCCATTTCAAAGAAAAATTATCGCTTCATCTCGTACTATCGAAGTGGTGGTTTTGATAAATCAGCAGAGGAATATGCGTTTGATAGTGCCAGGTGCATCAAAGAACTTAGCAAGGGAGATGTGATTTGCTTGTTAGGTGATTTCAATCTCCCACTAATTAATTGGAATAATTATTCTGCACCAAATAACGTCATCTACAATACTTTTATCGAACTTTTCAATGAATTAGGTCTCTACCAACTTGTCGATCAACCAATTCGTGGAAATAATATTTTAGATTTGATCCTATCTGATGATGCCAGCCTACTTGTCGAGTTAGAGATTTCCTGTCCGTTTTCTTCCAGTGATCACAACTGCCTTACCTATCAAGTTAACTGCATCACTCATAACTCAACTGACAAATTCTCTAACAATGATAACGACACTTCCTTTTATAATTACAACAGTGCAGACTTCACTAATATGAATGAATGCCTGAGGCTAATCAACTGGGACAATATTTTTCAGCACTGCTTCGACGTCAACACATGTTGGGACATTTTTGAGCGTTTGATAAACAATCTTATGGCAACTTACATCCCTCGATCTTTTCTGAGAAGCAAGGAACACAAAATACAGGTTCCCTATCAACTTCGTCAGTCTTATAAAGTAAAACTTCACTACTGGAAAAAATGGAAACGAACTTCTTCATCGGATGATAAAGAGCAGTATTTGAATATGTCACGAAAATGTTCTGGCTTAGCAAACAGTTACAGAATAGTCAATGAACATAAACTGCTTTCTAAATGCAATGTCAGAAGTTTTTACCAGTATGTCAACAAAAAAATGCTATCGCGTCCCAATGTCAGTAGTTTAAAGTTAGATGACAATAGCGTGACCTATGACCCGCTGATAATGGCCAATGCATTCAACAAATATTTTTCTTCCGTATTTACACATGATAACAACTCCAATTGTTCCATACCTTGTCTAACCAACAACTTGTTAGAAAATATTTGTTTCACTCCCCATACAGTGTATACAACTCTGCGTAACTTAAAAAATTCAACCTCAGCTGGAACAGATGGTATACCGAATGTTGTCCTGAAGATGTGTGCATCTAACCTATCAGTTCCATTATGTCATATTTTTGATCTATCATTTAGAAATAACCAGCTACCAACTAAATGGAAATCTGCTATTGTTACTCCCATTCATAAAAAGGGTCCCACAAACCAGCTACCAACTAAATGGAAATCTGCTATTGTTACTCCCATTCATAAAAAGGGTCCCACAAACCACCCCAGCAACTACCGACCTATTTCACTCACGAGTTCAAGTTGTAGAGCAATGGAAAAGATTATAAACAAAGTAATATTATCCTTTCTTTTTACAAACTAATTACGCATTTTCAACATGGTTTTCTACCTGGTAGATCAACCTGCACCAACTTAATGCAATTTTACAGCGACTGGATATCACTTCGTCAGAACAAAGAAGGCTGTGACACCATTTACCTCGATTTCCAAAAAGCTTTTGATTAAACTGGTCGGAAAATTAAGATCCTATGGAATATCTGGTAATCTGCTTGCCTGGCTGTCGGACTTCTTGTCTCAACGTTCCCAGCTTGTTAGAATTCAAAACAAATTATCCAATTCAGTATCGGTTACCAGTGGTGTCCCCCAAGGCAGTGTCTTGGGTCCAACTCTATTCATTGTCTTCATTAACGACATTGTTGAACGCATTTCATCTATTTCAGTTTCAAGTTTGCTATTCGCTGACGATATTAAACTATACAGCCGTTCATCCAA